AATAGAATATTTGTCCTTCTGTGATTGACTAACTTCACTCAGCATAATGTCCTCCAAGTTCATCCACGTTATGTGGTGAAAAATACTGTAAATGCCTTTCTTAAGAAGAAAATCTCTGCTTGTTTTTCATCTAGCATATTGAGGGCTTAATCTGATTATAGCAGTTTTTATAAGTGAAGTCTTAATATTTCTTAATTAAAAAAACTCTTTGCTGTTGAGTTGATTCCAGACTCATGGTGACCCTATAGAACAGAGTAGAACTACCTACGTGATTTCCAAGGCTGTCACCTTTACAGAAGCAGACTGCCACCTCTTTTTCCCACAGAGCAGTTGGTGGGTTTGAACTGCTGACCTTTCAGTTTGCAACTGAGTGCATAGCCACTGTGCCACCGGGGCTTCTTTCTTGTACTATAAAACCAAACCAAACCAAAATCACTGCCGTCACATCGATTGTGACTCATAGCAACCCCTCCTTGGGTTTCTGATACAGTATCTCTACAGAAGTAGATTGCGCAGTCTTCCTTCTGAGGAGTCGGTTTGAACCAGCAGCCTTCTGGTTAGCAGTCAAATGCCTTAGGCACTAAGCCAAGTTAATCTTTTATTAGAATGTGAGTAAAATTTTAAACATAAATATTTCGACTGATTTTATCTTACTAAAATAGTTTCACACTTTAGCTCAGATGTAATGTCTGGAAAGCAGTGGTCACCCTCAGTAAGCTGTGCTGTAGGTCTGCCTTCCCTGCCACATTTTCCTCATGCAGAAAGTTACTGTCGCAAGAGAGCAGCAGTTAGAGAATCCTGTTCTGTTAAAGTCGGGCTCACAGCTGGTTGTGTATGGAGAGTGGGGTATGACAAGGACAGCTGAGATTCACCTGGGGAGGGTTGGACTTAGTAACCTCACTGAGCGTCCCTTGCCAGATGCCTGCAAGGTTAGGTTCCTATCGGGGTGCACACTGACTGGTTCTTTCAAAGTGATAGAGAAGACAGAGTACCCCAGAATCCACCATTCGATACCCCATGCTCTTTTGAGTGATGGCTCTTGGTTTACATTTAAGCACTCTGGTTAGGACTGCGTCCAGAGAAGGCGTTAAGTAGTGGCTGTTGGGTGTGAGCCTGTGGGGAGTGTGGGATGAGACCTCTTTCTTCCTTGTGGCAGTTGTGCTGTAATCTACTTGTTTGGGGCTTTGAACACTTGGCCTTTGATTTTAAATTTCAGGTTGTAGTGAATTGGGCCTTAATAGTTAAGAACATTTAACGTTGCCCTGTTTTCTTTTGTGTATCTCGGCTACTGAGAAAATGGTCAAGGATAGAAAATTCCAATAGTTTAAAAACCTGCCTCTTTCTTCTAGACTTTAAAAATACTTTAAGTGGGATCTCTTATTCTTAGAAAGGAATGGTGGCACAGTGCCTAAGGTATTTGACTGCTAACCAGAAGATTGGCAGTTCAAACCCACCAGCCACTTCATGGAAGGAGAAGGGGACAATCTACTTCTGTAAAGATTTACTGCCTCAAGGAAGGAAAAAAAAAAAGATTTACTGCCTCAGAAACCCAGCGGGGGTCGCCATAGGTGGGGGTCAGCTTCGACTCAATGGCAGTGAGGTTTTTTTTTTTTTTTTATTCTTAGGCAGTCTTAATTTCTGTTGGAAAGTAGATGCAGTTAGTAGTATGCTCGGGTGAATTACGAATGTCCCCAGGGGTATTATATGGAAATAAAAACTCCCTGGGGAGAGTTAAGAGATGAAAGGGAAGGGAGGACCAGCAGGCAGTTGTAGAGAATGTAGTAGAAGGTGTAAAATTGGATTCTAGTTTGGATTTGCCAATAGTTAACATTAGTTGTACTGCCAGGGCTTCATTTTTTTCTTCAACTACAACGTTAGGACCAGCTCTGTGACATCTCCTAGCCCTGTAATTCTGAAACTACCTGTTGGGAATCAGACTCACAAATGGGAACTGACACTAGCAAGTAGGCATTACGAGTTTGAGATTAAGCACTGACACAAGAGCTGGTTTTAGCCATAAAGAGTGGTATTTCTTGGGAAGAAAGTAAGTGCTTTAAGACTTGCCAAAGGAAAGGTGTGGACATTTGCATGGAAAGATCCAGCACTATAAGTCTGCTAGGTGTAGGCCCTCTGAGTGGCTGATCAGCATTTTAATCAGATGCCCAAAGGTTATTAAAGCACATACTTTGCATAAAATGTCCTTTAAAAATACTTTGTTTAAAATTTATCTTTTACATTTGAACAATGACTGTTGTCCTCAGTGGTGGTATACGTACTCTGAATGTCACTGAAATGGCTAACTTTTCTTATAAATTAGTAGATTGATCTGTTTGAATTTACTGTCAGTTGTAGTTTTCTCCTTTATTTTCTACCCATGGTTTTCTTTTTCAAGTACTAGCATAAGGCTCTTCTAAGGTTTGTGTCCTCCACCTCATCCCAGATGGCCCTCGTTCTGCAGGCTGGCGAGAACACGTGGAACGGCGGCGAAGGTTTGAGTTTGACTTCAGAGATCGGGATGATGAACGGGGTTATCGAAGAGCGCGCTCTGGCAGTGGGAGCGTGGATGACGACAGGGATAGCTTGCCTGAGTGGTGTTTAGAAGATGCGGAGGAAGAAATGGGCACGTTTGACTCGTCTGGAGCGTTCCTCTCTCTGAAGGTGAGAGCTTTGTGTTCAGGGTCATGGCACAGGCATTGCCTTTGCCCAGAACTAGATGTGCTGTTGACCTTGGGTTTTGTGTTCTTGGTACAGAAAGTACAGAAAGAACCTATTCCAGAAGAACAGGAGATGGACTTTCGGCCTGTGGAGGAAGGGGAGGAGTGCTCTGACTCCGAGGGTAGCCATAATGAAGAAGCCAAAGAACCTGATAAGACAAATAAGAAAGAAGGAGAGAAAACAGATAGAGTAGGAGTTGGTAAGGCACAGTTGTATCTTTTACCTCTTATTTCTTTTTACCCAAACTGAACTTTCCTAAATTGTTAAATCAAGATTACTTTGTGTTACAGAAGTTAGTGAAGAAACACCCCAGCCCTCTTCCTCCTGTGCTAGACCAGGTTCTCCTTCAGACCATCAGCCTCAGGAAACACCACAGTTTGAGAAGAAAGAGGAACCCAAAACCGAGCAAATGGAAAAAGCCGAAGAGGAGAGTCGAATGGAAAATAGTTTACCGACCAAAGTGCCCAACAGAGGGGACGGTATGTATTTGTGAGAGCAGACCCTCTAAAATGGGATTCTGCGGAGGCCAGCGATCACTGACAGCTGGGCTTCTATTGATACCTTCTCAAAGTGCTTCTTGTGTGTGAGCTTTGGGAATTGATTGTTTTACCAATAAACCTGGTTACACAGTGCTTCCCTAGTGTGGATCTACCCCAGAATCTCCCAAAATAGAGTGGGAGTTGGCAGGGTGGAGCTCAGACATCCCTCTTGGTCGGTGCCTCCCCTCTTGGGGTATTATGGCATAGCCAGCCTGGCGTCAGTCTACCAAATGGCGGTTTAGGGGCCTCTGCATTTGCTTCATACTGTATCAGATCATTACCTTCATTTCATGTAATAGATGTGTTACCAGCTAAGTTACCAGGTGAAACACCAAAACGCCACTGTTCCAAAAAAGGTAGGACAGAGAATGGGATCAAATCGGGCAAGTCTGTCACCTCTGCTAGAGAAGAAACTTAAAGCATCTCTCCTTTTTACACTAGAAATGGCATTATTAACTGCTTTTAAAATGCTAAAGGTAATGTTGCTGGGTTGATTTGTAAACTGCTCATACATTACCATGTTTCTTCTTTTATATACTAAAAAATAACATCATAATATTGAAATTGAAGGATTAATTCTCTGAACCATTGACCTAAAAAAATTCACACCTTTAATGTGGCCTTCAAGACCCTGAATGATCTGGTGTCTGACCCCTTATGAAGCTTCAGTAGCGGCTCCGTCTCACCCCTGCCCCACTCGCCAGCCTTCCTCAGAGCCTGTCGGGTCTGGAGTATGCCCTGTTCACTTGCCTCCATTCCTGAGCAGGTGTCATTTCTTGTGCCTTGAACCTTCTTCTCACCTCAAAACCCCAGGCTAGCTTAGGTGTCTCTCTGTTTCTTAAACAAGCAGCGTGAATCCTTGCATAGCATTACTCTGTTAGATTGATCTATTCATTGTCTTTTTTGCCCAGTAGACTAATATTTTGAGGGCTTGAGCCAAGAATTTCTTTCCAGTGCCTCTTTCCCCACAAGTGTCCAGAACATAGCTGAATGAATGAATTTAGCAAGCATTTGAATCTTAACTATACATATCTGTTCATCTGTGCTGTGAGACTAGAGTTTGGAAACTGTTTTATATGTAATAGTGCCTTTTCAGCTATGATACGCCCCAGAATTACTTGTGGTGCGTTCTTGTGAATGTACATGTTGTTGTTGTTATGTGCCGTCGAGTCGGACCCGACTCATAGCGACCCCTCCTTGTGTTTCCGAGGCAGTATCACTATGGAAGTAGATTGCCCCATCTTCCTTCCAATGTGAATGTGCATACCTGGGCCTTATTTTAGATTACAGATGCAGTCCAGGCATATGTGGTTTGAGAATGCTTCCACGATGTGTGTTGAAGGTTGAAACTATAGATTTCTAGTTTGTACGGGATGTGGAACATGTACGTGTCAGTAGTCCGAGGGAAGAAAGCAAAGGTACGAGCTCCCTGCTAGAAGATTCCTGGAGTGCTTCAGGAAGCAGGTGGTGTTTGAGCTTGTCTTTGAGTAATTAGTAATATTTGGAGCTAGTTGATAGAGGATGAGTTGGGAGAGGGTATGCCAGCATTCGGGAGCAGTGAAAAAAGCAAAGGGGAAGAGGTGGGACTGCTCCAGGTCCGGGCGGGAATTGGCATGTTTTTATCCAGGCACAGCATGAGGTGTCACAGGAAGAGTGGTGGGAAGGACGAGTGGCACCTGGGTTTGGCGACTGTGAGCAGCTTGTTGTGATGGCAGATGCAGTGCTGCTTGGCTTGCTTTGTGCCAGGGCCCTGAGAAGTCAGTCCAGTGTAGGCTCTGCCCCGGAAAGGGAGAGGGCAATGATGAAGCCTCAAGGTAGGATTTGTTAGGACTTAACTCGTGGCTGGGCTGTGAGAGCAGAGCAGAGGGAAGAGTCAAAGGTGACCAAGGGGCCCAAGAGGAATATGGTGTCATTAATGGGAAAGGGAATGGGAGGGGAGAGAGAGTGTTCAGTCTGAACATTGATTCTGAGGAGCTGATGAGAGAGAGAGAGAGAGAGATGCCAGAAAGGTGAAGGACTGTAGCTAGATGGAAAGAGTTTAGGAACAGAAAGAGAGGATTTAAAAGATTATATACATTTGCTAACGGTGAGAAGACAAGTGGGCTGAGAACAGAATCTCAAGTAATTCCTGCTTTTAGAGGGTAGGTAAAGGATGAGAAGGAGCTCTGGTGGCATAGTGCCTAAGGTATGTGACTGTAACCAGAAGGCTGGCGGTTCAAACCCACCAGCCACTCCTCGGAAGGAAGGTTGGGCAATCTGCTTCTGTAGAGATACTGCCTCAGAAACCCAAGGAGGGGTTGCTGTGAGTTGGATCTGACTCTGCGGCAGTGAGTTTGGTTTGGTTTTAAAGGATGAGGCGCTCGAGGCACAGCAGAGGTGAGTACGAGGGAAGTAAGGAAGGAAAGCGTTGGAGCAGAGAATGGGTTTGACAATGTAGACGGCACTAAGAGTGGCGACAGTGAGGGCTAAGAAAAACCATTGTCTACTGTGAGGGCAGCTTTCCTGAAGAATGGGAGGTGGGAGTCACACTGCGGCAGGTGTGGGTGGTGCTCAAGTTAAGACAGCATGTGTTGAAGGTCCTTTCAAGAAGTTTGGCAAAGAAGGGGAATAGCAAGGCACAGGAATTCGGAGAAGCTGCCTCTCATTGAACAAACAAGGTCTCAAAGGAGAGGCTGCACTTGCATCTAATTACTTCCATCCCTTTTCCTTCTCAAAAGTCTGCACACTGAGCTGTTGGGAATAGGAACCAATCTTTGTTCGTACTGACAAGAGCATCCTGTGCTGTACAGGTGGACGCCTAGTGTTTCATTATCCTAAAAACTGTAATACATTGAATTCTCTTAATTATGATTTGAAATAGCTGCTTATTCAACATGATTAGAGATATTTTTGTTAAAGGTTTGGTGATAAGCTGTGTCTTGAGATTTGGGGGCGCTTCATTTTCCTTTACTCTTTGGAGACCTGGTGTCCAGAAGAGACTAGACCGATTCTGCTTCATGTCAAGAGGTTGACTTAAACCCTTGAGTAGAAGCCAGAGTGCACAGGTAGGCACTGCCAGAGGACCTCGTGGGTACCATTTAATCCTTGAAACCTGTCACTCTGTGGATGAAACGTAGTTTTGATGAGAGGTATTTCTACTCTTCTTAATAAGTTGCTTCAGTGTCTGTGACAGTTGATGTTTCTGCCTGGCCCACCTTGAAACAGAGACAGAGGGTTGTACTTCCTAAGTCTCTTTATTAGCATTTGTTTCAAAGGATTTTCATCTGTCTACATTTTTTTCCTCTAGAAATGGTTCCTGATGTCCAACAGCCCCTGTCACAGATTCCTTCAGATACAGCCACTCCTCTTCTCATACTTCCACCTCCTGTTCCCAATCCTAGCCCTGCCCTCCGGCCAGTTGAAACGCCGGTCGTTGGTGCTCCTGGTATGGGCAGTGTTTCCGCAGAGCCAGATGATGAAGAGGGTCTCAAACATTTGGAGCAGGTGAAACCATGCGGTTCTCTTTTTTTCCTCTGAAATTGACTAAACATTAGAGAGCATTAAATGAATATTTTAAAAAATAGAACTTTTATGTACTGAAAAGTTGTTTGTATATCTAGTATTTATTTGGGTGATTGTCTTTCAAGTCATTTCATGCTTCTAAGTTTCTGCTATGTAGTAGTCATCATGTCAGGTTATTTTTTGCTCTTCTGAGGTTGCCCTTAGCTGTTTGCTTTTCTTTTTTCTTTTGGAAATTAGTGGAATGCCAAAAATGGTGAATACAAGCAGCTGGGGGTGCGCACTGTATCCTCATAGTTTGTCCTCAAGTATAACAGGGAGAGTAGTTCATACTGACGTCTTACTCACTTCTCTAGATTTCTCTGCAGTCTTGTGTACCATTGTTACGTGTGATATGGATGATGGCTTGCTTTCTACAAAAGAATTTCTCTGGGGCAGGATGGTTAGTGGCAGGGAGTGCTGAAAAAGGAGTAGGTGGTACCTTACTCAGCCTTACAGAAGCTGTTATTTGTAAATACATTGATTGGGCCTTTTTTCTGCAAATATCTTTGCTTTTATAGGTTCAGTTTGTACAGTTTAAGAGTGGACCAGTGGCTTATTAGTTTAAAAGTACTCTTCTCAGTGTGCTGATGAGAAGCCTGGGCTTTTTGATTCTTACTGGTTTGTGTCTCAGTCTCAGTTAAGTTTACTTCATAATTTTGAGACCTTGTGTGAGACTTGACCACTGTGAGCCTCTGTTCCCCTCTAAAAAGGGGATAGGAGCTGTTTTATGGCATTGTCAGGAGAGCTAAATTGTTGTTTGCTACGCTTGTTGCATAGTGCTTTTCACAGATAATGTAGTCCAAAAAAGTATACATTATTATTACATGTGTAAGTACTAATTTAGGATCATTCATTTCCTTAATCCATTTTTATTTTATTTTTTGCTGTTAGCAAGCTGAGAAGATGGTGGCTTATCTCCAAGACAGTGCGCTGGATGATGAGAGACTGGGGTCAAAACTGCAGGAGCACAGAGCAAAAGGCGTCTCGGTTCCGTTAATACATGAAGCAATGCAGAAGTGGTATTACAAAGATCCCCAGGGAGAAATCCAGGGTACGTCGTGTCTTTCCACTTTAAGTACAGAAGTGCCTGCCCTTACCTCCCGAATCTGTAAGATGATTTGTTGAACATTAATGTGCATCATAGTAGACAGAGAAGTTAACACGTGCGTTTTTAGTATGTATTAAAAGACTTTTTTTATAGGCTTCCTTCATGATACTTTACGATTTTTAGTGAAAAATCATTTGGAATACAAGGCAGAATGAGATGGCCAGTGTGATGGGGGTAAGCAGACTGCTTCCGACCCTGCAGGTCTGCCACCCCCGCTGGCTCTCCAGTCCAGGAAGTTTGTGTTTGGCGTTGTTTGGACTGTTCTGTCTTTCGATGTCTGTGGGCTCTGAAGTGAGACAGTTTCACTCCTCATGTTGGTAATTTATGTCGTTTTTTTTTTTTTTCTTTGTCAGTCATTTATTAGAGGTTTGTCAGTTTTACTGATTTAAGAATTAGTTCTTTGTTTCATTTATTTTTCTCTGTTTTTGTATTTCAACTTCATTGGTCTCTGCTTTCTATTAGTTTTTTCCTTTTGCTTGCTCAGGGTATATTTTACTCTTCTTTTTCTAGGTTCTTGAGGTGGGAGATTAGATTATTGGTTTGAGACTTTTCCTCTTTTTAATGTAAGCATTTAATACTCTAAATTTTCCTGTTAGCACCGCTTTAGATTTATCCCACGATATTTGATAATATTGTATTTTCATTTTCAGTTGGTTCAGTGTATGTATGTATATGTGTGTGTGTGTATGTGTATTTTAAATTTTTTCGTTAATTTTCCCCATTTAACCATAATTATTTAAAAGTGTATTGTTTGTTTCTAAGCCTTTGGAGATTTTTCTTTTATCTTTGTTACTGATTTCTAGCTGGAGAACACAATCTTTATAATTTCAGTTTTTAAAAAATTGTTCAGATTTATTTTATGGCCAACAATATGGTGTATTTTGGCATGTGTTCTGTGGACACTTGAAAAGAATGTATATTTTGCTGCTGTTGGAGTAGTCTGTAAATGTTGATTAGATCCTGTTGTTTGGTGATGACGTTAAATTCTTTATCCTGTCTAGCTGACTTTAGTGATCGAGCGAGAGAGGGTTAGAGGGGTGTTGAAGTCTCCAACTGTATTTGTAGATTTGTTCGTTTCTCAGCTCATCAGCTTCTCTTCACATATTTTGTACTCTGTTATTTGGTGTGTACACATTTACAGTTGGGGAGGTTTTTTTTTCTCTTTTTTAATCACTGTATTATGTCCTTTTGTCTCTGGTAATTTTCTTTGCTCTGAAGTCTGCTTTATTTGGTTTTAACATAGCTAGCCCTGCTTTGCTTTGGCTGATGTTCCCCCAGATCTATCTTTTGTTATCTTTTTACATTCACCATGTCTATATCATTAAATTTGAAGTAAGTTTCTCATGGATAGCAGATGATTGTGTCATGTGTTGAATCCACTCTGCCAGTCTGTCTTCCAGTTGGTGTATTTAGAGCATTTACATTTAATATAATATCAATATGTTAAAGTGTGCCATTTTATTTTTTTGTTTATTGTTTTTGTCTACTTCTGTGTTCTTTGTCCTGCCTTCATGTGGGTGCTTGAATGTTTTTTAGAATCCTATTTTGATTTTTCTGTTGTGTTTTTAAATGTATTTTTAGTTTTTATTTTTCCCCCATTCGCCATGTCCAACCCTAACCCAGTCTTCTCCCTCCCTACCCTGTAACCCTCCCCCTGTGCCTGTTATATTTATGCACTCCTGTTTGCCCTGAATTTCTTCAATTTCAGTGTTGGTCCTCTGGTGTCCCGTAGTCTGTTGCTCTAAGGAATGTATTCCCATAGAGTAGTATGTGGATGTGTCATCCTGGGTTGAGTGGTCTGTGTGTATGTCTTCTTAACTATTGGGCTAAGAGTCTGCCCCTGGGGGTGAGTTTTATTCCAGGCAGAATGTATTCCAGGGCCATAGTATTGGGAGTCTTACCAGATTTCATCTGACCAGTAATTCTGATCATATTGAGTTTTTGGATTTTGTTCCACGTTTTCCTTCCCACTCTATCTAGGTTCTCCAGATTTGATCGTTTTCTGAGTGGTTGGCATTGGTAGCCTGGCACCATCCAGTTCTTCTGGTCTTGAGGGCCATCGTGTCCTAGGGCTGATTGCTTCTCAATGCCCTTTCTTTGTGTGTGTGTGAGTTCTTCTTCACTTCCAACACTAGGAGACCATTAGCTGCATCTTAGATGGCCACTTGAGAGCTTTTAAGACCCCACTCACTACTCACCAATGTAGGATGTAGAGCAACACCTTTATGTATTTTGTTGTGCCAGTTGAGTCTGGTGTCCCCCAGTACTGTGGTCCTGAGACAATAGATCTCTCTCCCATAGTGTCTGGATGTCTGTGAGGGATTGCTCTGTGCCTTTTTCTATTGTTTCTGTAAGGACTGCAGGTATTTTGTATCACTGGTGTCTGTGCAAGATTAGCCTCAGCTGAATCTATCCTTGGTCTAGAGTATACTTCTGTTCACTGACCCCTGTCTGATCATCTTAGGTATTTATGTGTTTATCTGTATAGCCTAATGTTTAGTGTTAATGGCAATGCAGTATTGTGGACACATTGGTTGGTATTGGCATCTATTGTCTATCACTTATGTGCACAATTCGGTGTAAATATATTTTTAGCTATTTTAATGGTTGCTTTAAGTATCATGTTATATATACGTAACTTATCACAGTTGTAAATGGCATCATCATTTTAGTAGTTTCCGTGAGGTGTAGAAACCTTCCTTCTCTTCACGTCCTATTACCACTCCCATTTATAATTGTCTTAGGTATTTCCTCTACATCCATTTAGAACTACATTAGACAGTGTTAAGGTTTTGGTTTTAATCATCAAATGTAATTTAGAAAACTCAATAGGAGAAAGAAGGGCTGCTGTATTTACTCATCTATTTCTTTGTCTTGTTCTTCCTTCCTGATGTTCTGAGGTTACTCCTTTTGTTGTTTCCTGTTTTGAGAACTTCCTCTGGCCATTGTTTTAGGGCAGATCTGCTGGCAACAAATATTCTTAGTTTTTTGGTATGAGACTATCTTGATTTCTGTTCGTTCCTGAAGGATAGTTTTACTGAGTATAAGATTCTGGTTGACACTTCTTCTAGCACTGGAAAAATACTGTGCTACTTCCTTTCATGGAGGTGAGGGCTTGTGGGTGGCAGGACAAAAGTTTGGCTCCTTTCCTGGCCTTCTCTGACACTATCCTAGTGAGGGTGTTGAGCTCCTCATTATGTAGCCCAGCCAAGATGGAAGTCTAGACTCCCCACTTTGCCATTCCATGTGTGAGTGAGGTAGGACCAGTTTTTTCTGTGCTCTTTGGTTGAAATAAAAGAGATTATTGTCTAAAAGTTTTCTGTCTTGCTCAGCTGCCCCTGTTCACGTCCCTTGGCTAGAAAGAGCAGGTTTGGTTGTCTTGTTTTATTTTGTTACCTGCATCTGTTGCCATTCCTGGTTTCCGGCTTTTTCCGCTTCATTTCTGGAATATATGAAGTATAAAACAAACCCAGGGAACACACTACTGTGTCCTTCCTCAGGCCTGGAGGTCCTTAGTCAGTCTGCTTTATTCCCTCCACCTTTCACAGTCATCTTCGGTTTGCTGTATTTAATGTCCAGGGTTTTCAGCTCCTACTTAGCAGTAGGAATAGGGAAAAGTCCATCTACTTCATCTCCTGAAATGGAACTTCTAGGGCTTTGTTTTGTTTACTGTTGTATCCCCAGTGCCTGCATCATATAGCAGGTGTTCAATTAAGTGTTTGGAATGATTGAATGGCTTGTTGATGAGAGTACGTTTGTTTGTTAATTTTATATGTAAAATACTTGCTATTTCTTCTTGTAAAATAGCTCAAGAATGTTATTTCCCTACCAAGAACAGATTTAATATTACTTGGGCAAATAAATGTTAGCTTGTCTTACTTTAAATGATTAATGTTTATATTCTGTCCAGCTTCAAAAGTCTCTGTCAGAAAATAAGAATTAGAGAAGTGCCTGTACAGATGTGCAGGTTAGCACTCTGTGCCCATTGATCCCGAGTCAAACAAAATGCATTGAGCTCTTTTCAGTTCTGCTTTTCCCACAAGTGACTTGTAGGGACTGAGTGGGACAGCAGCCCTCATACTCCTTATCACAATTGATGCACTGGTGAGGATTTGGGATATATCAACCCAAGGCTCATTTTGATGTTCCTGTTACATTTAAGTAATTAGAAGCCTGTTTACCACCTTTGGAAGTGGATTAAATTAAGGTACCATACAAAGTCACCAGAAGGCTGGTGGTTCAAACCCACCAGCCACTCCTTGGAAGGAAGATGGGGCAATCTACTTCCATAGTAATACTGCCTTGGAAACCGAAGGAGGGGTCGCTATGAGTCGGGTCTGACTCTATGGCACATAACAACAACAGAACGTATTTGACAGGTGCCACCTGAACAGGTGTTACTTCTAGATGAGGGTCAGAAATACTTTTTTTTCCTTTTTATGCCTAAAAGGATTCTTATTGCCTATCTGCTTAATTGGTGATATTCCAGGTCCCTTCAATAATCAGGAGATGGCAGAATGGTTTCAGGCAGGCTATTTCACCATGTCTTTATTGGTGAAGAGAGCGTGTGATGAAAGTTTCCAGCCTCTTGGTGATATAATGAAAATGTGGGGAAGAGTTCCTTTCTCACCCGGCCCGGCTCCTCCTCCTCATATGGTAAGTACCGTGAATTTACCTGGAACACATAGCAGACACAGAAGCACTTGCTGCTGCTTAAAAACATAGCCAAATGTTACAGATGACAAGGAAAGCTGTGTTAGCTCTTTGAAAGTCACTGAAATTATAATGAAATTGTACTGCATATGTAGCTGTAATGAAACTTTCAGAACTCAAATGCTTGTGCCCATCTTCTTCATACTGCCCATCTGTCTCTCTCTGTGGTACCCAGAGAAACAGAATCCTTCAGTAGTTTTCTACCAGATGTAGAATGAAGGCCAACACCCTGTGTTGACTTAGCAGGCCCTGCGCAGCCTGCCTCCTGGCTTTTCTGAGCCCGTCTCACAGCTTTGCCTTTACCTCTGCGCTTCAGCACAGCTGGCTGCAGCCACTTCCTTCTCGTTGCCAGTGAGAATGCATGTACTCCTCTTTTGTCTGCCTCTTGCTTTCTGACCTTAAAAAGTTCCTAAATTTGAGATTTACCTTAAAGAAAACGTTACTAATACAAAATTCCATTGCTTCGTATTATTTTGAGGGTTTTCTTTTTTGAATATTAGCTACTGGTAATAGTAGTGTCTACTGGCCCTGAGTCCCTTTGGCAGATGCAGCCCTTGCCCCTCCTGTAGCTGCCTCTAGACATCACCCAGGAGAGAGTGTCTGGACCTGGGCCTCACTTCTCCTTCTCCAGGTTGGTGTGCCAGGTGGCCGGCCATTGTCAAAAAGGCCATAGTCAAAAGTCGTTAGTGTGCACATTGACTTTCTACAGGAAGATCCAGCACTGGCCCATTCATCATGCGCGTGCTGAGGGCCAGGCCTTGTGCTAGTTTCTTAAGGGATGAGGGTGAATAAGACTCAGCCTCTAGACACAGGAGTTTTTAGGACAGGACAGTGGCCATGAGGCCTTTTGGACCATGACCTATATTAAAAACGTGTCTCTCCATCATAACTCTGTGTGTGTGTAAGTTTGTGTGTGTAACAAAGTTTCACAGAGCATTTTGTGTGGTGTGCACTGATATTTCTGTCCTGTTTCCTTTTGTTTTGAAATGCTGGTCTTCACTCAGTGATTGGTTTCCCTATCCACTAGAAGGATTGAGACCTGTAGTTTGAAGAATAAGGGTCTAGAAGAGAAGATGCCTAGGGGAGGGAAATTACCTCTATTAATTCCTATCTTGGTGTATATCCATGTGAAAATGACATTGTATATTAACTGCATGTGAGTTGAACTTACATACCGAGTTGGAGCCTTAGTTCTTTCTCTAAACCTGGGAAGGATCTCCCTCCTGCAGGTGTCAGCAGCTGAAAGCTCATCCCTTGCCCGTTCCCTGCCTTCCAGCCCCAGAGAGGAGCCGGGCTCTGTCATACCTGCCTCAGCAGGCGGGCTGGGGAAGCTCCCCGTCCTGTCAGCTCCTGGGCTCCCCAGAGCACTGCTGAGAGCTCGTTTTCTCAGGAACTGACACTGGCTGTGCAGGGAGAAAATGACAGTGGCCTCGGGTAGCTTTCCTCCTGGTATTTAACCAGCGAGAAAAATGTCCCAAATGTCAGGTGATCCTTACCCTGAAAACTCATGGATTCCAAAATGCAGTGAGAGTAAGACACAGATCTGCACAGTTCAATTGTGAGTTGCTTCATTTAGTATGTGCCATCTGTGTACTTACTTTCTTTTATCTTACACTCATGGCATTCTTTTCCCATTTTTAACTTTATAAAACTGAAATTCCAGCCTTAGTTATTTGAAATACAGGCTAAAAACCACGATTTTAGTATAATTTCTTTCCGTTTTCTAACCCATATGTATTAATAGCGGCAGAAACCACCTAGTTTTTGTGTAGAGAGTTAATTTTTCACAGCTCTTTCATATAATCTGTTCAGTTTTAAATGGATCAACATCTTGAAGAAGTAGCCTGGCTTCCTTTGTTCCATCATGTGCCATTGCAGAATTCCTACCCCATCATAATTTTTCATCTTGTAGATAATCTTATTGTTCTCTTACACAGTTCCATTTCTCTAATTTCTACTTATCTCCAATGTGTGAGTCACTTTGAAGATGGGGAGAATTACAGTTTTCCAGGTGCAGTCGTAACTCTGGAGCACTGGACGGCATTCAGCTTCGAGGGCAAGAGGGCAGACTAGCAGATGAAATGCGGAGCTGTGTCCACCTTAAGGACTCTCTTACAATGCAGATGCCACCTTAGTCCACTAGGCAGCACGGCTTAGTTTTAAAGATGCCTGATTTTTTAGGATAAGGGTGAGGTGTGGGAGATGAAAGTTCGGTGAGTCCGTTTGCTTTCAGATGCATGTATGAAGTGACTTTTATTTTTATGTTCCTTGCAGTTTATGTAATGGTATCTCTTTCCCATCCTTTCACTCCCAGGGAGAGTTGGACCAGGAACGACTGAGCAGACAGCAGGAACTCACAGCCTTATACCAGATGCAGCACCTCCAGTACCAGCAGTTCTTAATACAGTGAGTGCAGTCATGCAGCAAGTGCACTGCAGCATCAAAGGGACGCTCAGTGTAATTGTTGTCAGGTCCCACCTGCTACAGCACAAAGTCCATGGGATACCTCAGTCGCCCATCCAATGGCATGTTACCACAGGTCTTGTAGATGGAGTTGGAACTCACTCACGGTGACCACCACCACCATTAGAGCACAGAGCAAAGCCAAACAAAGCAGATGAGTTGCCGTCTGACTTGAGGCATCCTTGTGTGCAGGGTAGAACTGTGCTCCTAGGGTTTCCAAGGCTGGGATGTATCTACAGCAGATCTCTAAGCGTTTTTCCCAAGGCGCCTCTGGGTGGGTTCAGACCACCAACCTTCCTGTGAGCAGTCCAGCATTCAGCCAGCTGTACCTTGCCACTCCCCTTGATGGGAGCCCAGCCCTGTTGCATGTGTTTCATGTTGTCCTGGCTTTTCTCATGGAACAGCGCCAAAGCAAGTTGGTGTGGCAGGCACTGTATCACTTGCACAGCTGGGAAGTTACTCTCTGGCCCTTTAGGAAAAATTTGTTCACTGCTGATCTGGTGACACAATGTGATACATATATATGAGAATTTTTATTCAAGTGAATTTTTTTTCCATGAAAAAGTGCTTCACATGGAAACAGTTATTAATTTGACTGTTTTAATTGCACTTGTTTTCTGATGGAAGACTGTTGTGTTCTTGAGAGAGTTTGCTGGATTTTGACGTTTTGTGCTTTTTGCTGTCCCTTTTTGATCAAAGGCATGTCATCTATAAGTTCAGTTTTTTCTAGAATGAATTATATATTATTCTGTTTGACTGTTATTATCACAAAGTATCATAAAATACTTGGTAGCTCTTGTTAATGATGTGCTGTGTGGGGCGGTGACTTGAACTCAGCCTTTCAGAGTCTCAGTGATGTGACGACAGTAGATAGGTGACACTTGATTTTGCTTTTTTGAAGACAACAATATGCGCAGGTTTTGGCTCAACAGCAGAAGGCAGCCCTGTCTTCCCAGCAGCAGCAACAGTTGGCGCTTCTCCTCCAGCAGTTCCAGGCTCTGAAGATGAGGTTGGTGGGCACTCCACCGTGTGTCTCACTGCATGTGGGCACTGGAAGAAAGGGAGGAAGGACAGCTGTGGGGGCGGGCATGAACTCTGCTATCAGGATACCCACAGCACATCTCTGCAGGTGGGAGGTGGCAGAAGTCGTGGTTACACTAACGGAAGGACATGTCCTCAGCTTTTTACTCACTGGGGCTATGTTCAGAATAATAACTAAAGAAGTTATTATAAGCAGTGGTGTCTGCTGGGAACAGCAACAACAAAAATAATGTTTTCTAGAACTTTAATTTCACTTTCACCTGTGATAAATCAAGACGTATACTAACGTTGCCACACGGGCTCATAATTTTCTGAAACCCAGAAGCTGTAAAGGTGTTGTCTCTTAAAGAAAAGGAACTTATGCTTGGTGCCTTAAATGTCAACTTTTTCAGAATATCATTCAGTTGAGTGTGTCGTGTACTCTGAAAAGATAGCAGTCCCTGCCCACAAAACTGTACTGTCCGGTGTAATCAGACTGGCCGCGTTTCTCTTTGAGCTTCACTCCATCCTGAGATAGACAGGTTGGGTAATGGAGTCTCCATTTTATAGATGGACAAAGGAGCTCTGAGGGGCTAAAGGACTTGCTTGACATGAGACAAGGAAAATGTCAGAGACAGAACTAAAATGCAGACCATTTGACTTACTGTTGATGGGTGTTTTCATTATAACACAATGACCCTGTGGCTTTTACTGAAATATTTGGGATTTTTTAAGATAGTAGGTATATCTGTTCTTCAGAAATCATTATTTTCTAATACATGCAACTATTGCACCTCTGTCTTTGTTCTTTGATAGTGTTAGGCTTTAGTTAAAGTGGTAAAGTTTTATGACCAAATAACCTTGAAAAGCTAGGAGAACAGCATAAATTCCACTTCGTCTTATTTTTGCAAATGACACAGCAAGTTGATTTTTTATTTCCCTTTTGCAGAATATCTGACCAGAGCGTCCTTCCCTCAGTCACTAGGTCTGTTTCGGTGCCAGATACTGGCTCTATCTGGGAGCTTCAGCCAACAGCCTCACAGCCTACAGGTAAAAACACAGATGGGAGCTTCACCATAGCTTCAAGCTTTCCGCTTTCAATAATATTTTCACATTCAGTTTTTAAACAGTGTAGCAGGTTTTTAGATCCATTTGGTATTATTAATAAAAAGTAACGTTTTTTAATAGACCTGAGCCAAAGTGTGAAGGTATTGTTGAAAGACACTGTTAAGAATTTGCTGGAAATCGTTTAGTAGATAAAATTTCTTGTGTTTGAGTTTTACATTGCAGTGTGCAAAAGTCTTTTAAATCATCTTTGATCTCTTCACCCAGAGTGAAAAACATAAATAAAAACAGAAAAGTAAGGGTGATCCATTCTTTTAATTCACTGCAAGGGCCTGTAGAGTTTAGGAAGAGAAAAACCTGCTTTGAAAGGACAACTTACTTCAGTCTCTGATCATTTTGTATCCAAGTAGAAAATTTTGGGATGGGATTTTTTTCAGTCTTGATGCTAAATAATTTCTGTTAGCATCTGCTACTTGCAGGGTGGGTAGTGGAATCATGGATAGTCCTGATATGAGGGTATAGTTGGTGTTGGAAATTTGCAGGAACCGTAAGCGTTGAAGATAGAGACGCATTTAGCCACTCAGGCTCCGGTTCTTTCTAGCAGTGCTGACCTAGGGATTATGCCAGGAGAAGGATCGATTATCCTTTCTAACAGTTTTCCTACTGCCTCTGCCTTGTTTTTTCTTGGTAGCCATTTATAGTTTTAAAATATTCTCTAGATTTTCTCTCTTGAAACCATCTATAAGTACCTTATTAAGCATTTCTCTTTTTGGACTTGTATGTGGTCAAAGTGCTTCACAAATATGCCACTGGTTTTACACAGACAGCAGTGAATAGTCCATGAATAGACTGTGATAGAAATGTGGGAAAGAGAGAATGCTGCAGAGTGGGGCCCGCAGACTCAGCTGACGGAGGCAGACCAAGCCAGAAACCCTTATCTGTTGGCTTCCAGTTCTGACCCTGTGCTGCCGTACATGCAGGTCAGGATCAGGTGTGTGACCAGTATGTGAGACCTGCCCAGGTTTCAGCGGCACCTCTCTTGTTCCCATTCTTCATTTGGTGTGCAGTAAGAGGCTATATGATTACTGGAAATACCATAGGCTTTGGAATCGAGTATACCTGGATTTGAATCTTGGCATGGCCATGTGCTTGCTGTGTGCTCTTGGGAATGTTACAAAATGACCTCTGACCCTTAGCTTCTTCATCTGGAAAAATGGGGCTGTGAACAGATACGTTACAGGGATTTGGAGGGTCAAATTACTCACCTAGTAAATGTCTGATTCTTCCCTTCTGGATGTGTGGAAGGATATTGACACAAATGAGAACCCACTGGCAGTTTGATCTGTTTCAAGCAGAACAGCCTTTGGGGGCAGGGAAGCAGCTTTTGTCATCAGACTTACGGACGTGTGACTGTGTGGCAGCACTCCCCTTTTTCCACCTTTTTGTCCTGCAGTTTGGGAAGGTGGCAGTGTGTGGGATCTTCCCCTGGACACCACAACTCCGGGACCTGCCCTGGAGCAGCTTCAGCAGATGGAGAAAGCCAAAGCAGCAAAGGTCAGAGCCTCGTTTTCTGGAGCAGCACTGCCTTCTGGCTGAGAGCACAGGGGCTGTGTCTGCTGAGCCCTCTTGTTTTCGTCCCTAGCTAACTGTACATTCTCTCTTTTTAGTCTCCTGCTGCTTAACTGGTTTGAGTGCACTCCTATTGATTGCTGTACCCCCTTTTCTCAGAAAAGACCCTCAGACCTCAAAACAGAATTAAAATGAAGTGGTTGGTTGGTTGGTTGAGAGATTAATAATCATGGATTAATAATCACAGCCGTGTGTGTAGTTCCGTTATATTATTGTTGGTATAAATGTTTGTTGTGAATACAAAGACTGTAAGAAAATAGCCACTGCATTGCCTCTTAAATCCTTGATCTGTTGGTTGAGTTTTGCTTAGGAGGCTACAGTTCCCACAGTGAACCTCTGTGGTGGTGTTTGTTTCCATTTCTTAGTGTCCCCAGAGGGAGTTCTGGTGGCCTAGGGCCTAAGGCACTTGACTGCTAACCAGAAAGCTAGCAGTTCAAACCCACCAGCCACTCCTCGGAAGGAAGGTTGGGGCAGTCCACTTGTGTAGTGATAACCTCCTCAGAAACCGAAGGAGGGGTCGCTATGAGTCAGATCCGACTGAATGGCAGTGGGTTTTAGTGTCCCCAGATAGCAGAAAACCTCAGTGACCTGCGTTCTGGAATTTGGGATTTTAGTTTTAGTATTTGTCGAAGAGGATGTCTGTTTTAACACCTGGAGTCAACATAATGGTTTCTGGGTTCTTGTGCCTCCAAGAGTGTCTCGTTCCTATTTGTACTTAATGCATCCCTGTCCCCTGAGGTAGTGACTGTCTTCTTAGAGTGCCCAAAATGTAGAAAGGGTTCATGGTCAAGGTCTGTCTCCATAAATGAGTGGAGAGATCAGAGTCCAAATAATTCCTGAATAGTGAACATGTCAATGATAAAAGATAGAGGCCTTTGAGCATCTGGCAACCTGTGGCAGGGAGGGAAAGACACTATGATGACAGGCTGGTTGAGAAGCACATGGACCCGGTTGTGGAGGTGGCAGTCAGGAGCTGGATGATACTGCGATGAGCTGTGAACTGATTCTCATTTGAAAGGTATTAGGATTGAGCCCTGTTGAGGTTCTGGACGTGACAGGGTAGACTGGGTAGGAGGAGGTGAAAATGCACTTGCATTTGAAACAAGCAGCACTCAGAAAGATCCAGGAGTGCAAGCATGAGGGTACACTGCTTAGTAATTCAGTCTGGGTGGAGCCATGGTGGGTCTCGGGTAGATATTGGGAGAGCGGACTACACACGGTTCAGCAAGCCAGTCGTGAATAGCCTGGCATAGGTCATGCGACAGACTTTAGGGGGTGTTGTTGAAAGTAAGCCTGGGAGTGATTTTTTTTTGGTGTGTGTGTGCATGCATGGATAGGTGGTATTGAGCTAGGAAAGTGGGCAAAACAGGATGCTAGGAAACCAGGTAAGAGACTCTTTGGAATGTGGATGAAAAAAGTAGAGGCTGAGGCTAGAGGGTAGGTGCTGGCTCTGACTAGTATTTAGAAACTGTAAGTGATAGAATTTGTTCAACTATTCGTCTTCAAACTTCAAACAATTCTGTGATTTTTTACACTAGCAGCTTTACAGCATTGCTGTTAAAATCTTGTAGCCACCCAGGTTGTATCTGTAGCCAGCAATCTTTTTATAGGACCAAGGAAAGAAATATCACTCCATGGGAATTCTTACATCTCTTTCCTATTGGCCTCTTCCCACCACATCTGGAGCTGTGGTGTGGTTAGCAGAGTTTGGAGTGAGGAGGTGGGCAAATAGGTGAGGGGAAAGCACATTCCGTTTTGAGAGTGTGAAACTGTCCTGATGTTGCTGTGACATACCAGAGCTCCTAAGAGCGCTGACTGGGGGAGGGATCCATCACAGGCAACTCAGTGAGTGGTTGTGCCTGCGTGCCCGGCTCCTGCTGCCAGTGCTAACCCAGTGGGGTTAGTGTCCTGTGCTTACATTCAGGTCTCTAAGAGGACTCTTGTGTCACCACAGCTAGAGCAGGAGAGAAGAGAGGCGGAAATGAGGGCAAAACGGGAAGAGGAGGAGCGCAAGAGGCAGGAAGAACTCCGGAGACAACAGGAGGAACTTCTCCGGAGACAGCAGGAGGAGGAGAGGAAGAGGCGGGAGGAAGAAGAGCTTGCCCGAAGGAAACAGGTACACACAGCAGCGAGAGCTCTGCCCGGGGTGGGGTGGGGTGGGGTGAGGCCTGGAAGACTCACTCACCTCTCCACAAACACCCACAGTCCCACTGCATCTTTGGAATGTAATTCCTTTGTGTATTTCCTGTGGTTTTATAGAGCAGTTAGGTCTCTGAAGTTCTACCCTTGCTGATAAAAACCAGGAGGGAGGGAAGTAACTGGTGTGCACCATTAAATGTCACATATTTAAAAGTCAGGTGTGCTTTTTATAAAGTTCTCTTTCTCTCTGATGCAGACCTCTGCCCTTTCTTTGCTCTTTTCCTGGATGAGCCCCTTTTACTTTCACTGCTGTAGCGAGGACTTGTGTTCTGGAAAGAGGGAGAAACCATACTGAAAATGGCATAGGCTTTTTATTTTTAAGAGGTGTTTTTTATCATCTGTACTTGGGGTTCTGTAACCTACCTTTGGATATATATATTGTGTCATTTTCCCATGTCCAGTATACTTCTACAAATCTGTATCGTCGTATTTGCTATATGAAACTTCATTTTATAGGTGGTTGTTGTTGTTATGTGCCGTCGAGTCGGACCCGACTCATAGCGACCCCTCCTTGGGTTTCTGAGGCAGTATCACTACGGAAGTAGATTGCCCCGTCTTCCTTCCAAGGAGTAGCTGGTGGGTTTGAACCGCCAGCCTTCTGATTAGCAGTCAAGTGCCTTAGGCACCATGCTACCAGAGCCCCCATTTTATAGGTAAGTGTTAATAATTTAGCCAATTCTGTATTATTGAACATGAAGGTAGTTCCCAATTTCTCACTGTTACATGAGTGTTTAAATGAAAACCTTTACAGCTTAGTCTTTGCCTAAGTATTTATCACCTGTGAGGTTTAACAAGGAGTTCTGGTGGTGTAGTGCCTAAGGCATTTAACTGCTGACCGGGTTGGCGGTTCAAATCAGCCAGCTGCTCTGTGGAAGGAAGGCAGGGCAGTCTATTTCCATAAAGATCTATAGCCTTGGAAACCCAATGGGGATTGCTGTGAGTTGGAATCGATTCGATGGTAATGGGTTTTTGGTGGGTGAGATTTAACGTTTTTGGCCAGCTACATGTCTTTTTTTGGAATTCTCTGTTGATACGCTTGCCCTCTTTTCTACTGGAGTGCTTCATAGATGCCAGTGAAATAGTCCACTCTATAATGGCTCTAAGTCTGGCCCTTACCTCACGTTTCCTACTCATCGGCCCCAAAAGGCACTCTGTAAAAAGCAAAAAGGGCCACCTGAGCTTCAGTTTCCAAACTGTTTCTTAGAGTCAGCGTGTGCTAGCTGTGAGGAGTATTGCAGTAAAACCTGTTTAATTCTGTTTGGCTCAGCGTTTCCTAAGTTTACTTGGCAGTGGGACCCTTGTGTGATACCTGGTTCTCTTAGTGGAAGGTTGGTTCTGCAGAACATCTGGAGCATTCTCAGGGAAGCACTGCTGTATTCAGGGACTGGAGGGCTTGCTCCTGCTCCCAGGGTCTGATTGCTCCATAGGTCAGAAATAGACACTGAAAGTACCAATGGAGACACGATAGGCTCCCCTGCCGCCCCCCCCCCCCACGTCCCACGTAGCCCTTCCAGCGTTGGATCAGTGAGAGGTGGAGCTAATACCGAAACCAGGACAAAGCACAGTGCATTGCTGTGTAACTACTAAGATTTTAAAAACAAAAACTTGTAAGTCTCGTTGTACCCACTCGCCAACTCACATATACATGCTTTTTTACTCTGGAACTTGGTTGTATACTTTCCTGTATTGACTGTTAAGAGTTTTAGTACTAGATAATCTCCTCCTTTTCAAACTTGGATAGGACACATTATCTGAGACCCGCCGTTTCATCCCCTGTTGTCTTTAGGAAGAGGCTCTGCGACGTCAGAGGGAGCAAGAAATTGCGCTGAGGCGGCAGAGAGAAGAGGAGGAGCGGCAGCAGCAAGAAGCAGCCCTTCGGAGCCTGGAGGAGAGGCGGCGCGAGGAGGAGAGGCGGCGGGAGGAGGAGAGGCGGCGCGAGGAGCAGGAGCTGCTGCGCAAGCAGGTGGCCATGGCTTGGGCTTCTCACAGCTCCTTTGGGTTAATCAGGAGGCAGGAATTAGGGAGGTATTATTAGCACAGTCGCTCTAAAATGTCATTTTGTTTCGACTACCGAAAGAAACCTAACTGGCTCTTACTACTACATTTCTTTTTTCTTAAAATGAAAACCTATTTTTTGAGGAAAAGCAAATTTCTTTCTGGCTTTTTCTCAGATATATGGTAAGAGAAGTTACGAAATATTTTCTTTTTAGCAAGTTTCAGACTTAGACAAACAGAATAGTATTAGGAATCATCGCTGCATCCCTATTGCCCAATTCAGGGATTACTAACGTTCTGCTGTTTCTATTCTGTCAACCGCCACTCATTCCTTACTCTTCTTTTCATGAGGTTTTTTTTTTAAGATATAATTTATATCCATTGAAATACACACATTTGAGCAGCACAGTGACAGAGGTACAGCCTTATAACCCACACCCCTGTCACGATATAAAGCATTTTTCCAGTCAGTCCACTCCTCACATCCACAGAGAAAATCAGCCTTCTGGTTTTTTTGCCTTTGTGTCGTCTAGAATTTCCTACATGCGGAGTTGTAGCAGTACGTACTGTTTTGAATGTGGCTTTTTGTTCAGCCTCATGTCTGGGAGTGCCGTGTTGTTGTAGGTACCAGTACTTCATTTGGTTGCTGTTGCCGGGTAGTGTCCCATTGCATGACTGTTCTGTTTTTCTGTTCTCCAGTTGAGGGCATTTGGGTTGTCCTTGGTTTTGCTATGGGTATATAAGTCATTTTTCTTGATAAACACCCAGGAGTAGAATTGCTGGGTCAGAGGGTAGGAGTGTGTTTAACTTTATAAGAAAATCCCAAACTTTTCCCACAATGGTTGTATTGTTTTCAGTTACCGTCAGCAGTGTATGAAAAATCTCATTGTACATTCTTGTCATCATTTGGTGTTGTCAAGCTTTTTACCGTTCTAGTTGGGATGTGGCAGTATCCTATTGTGGTTTTAATGATGACTTAAAGAACAAGGAAGTTCAGGCCCAGAACTCTGCCTGTTGACATCTCAGGGTAGTTAGGTTTTTGTCCACCTGGATTGGAAAGTGCCCTCAGGCAAATAGCTGTAACCTGGCAAATCCCACATCTTGCCCTTGGCCTTTCAAGGGTAGACCTCTCACAGGTTTCTTTCAAGGGCAGACCTCTCATAGGTTTCTTTCTGGTGCTGTTTTATTGTTTCTGGTTGATACTTTGTTTAGCTTTTGTAATTATATGTGGGAGGGTTGGTCCAGTCAAGCCCTCTACCATTGCAGGTAGCCAGAACCCCCAAAGTGTTTCACTTTATTGTTTCAAGAACATAGATAGGGATTTTTTTTCAATCAATAGACTTTATTTTGAGAACAGTTTGGATCTACAGAAAGATTGAGAAGATAGTACAGAGGGTTCCTGTATACCCTTGCACAGTTTCCGCTGTTATTAATATCTTATGCCGGTATGATAAATTTGTGTTATAAGGAATGAATATTAATATGTTGTAATTAACTAAAGTCCTTACTTTATTCAGATGTCCTCAGTTTTTAACTAGTGTCCTTTTTCCGTTCCAGGGTGTCATCTGGGGTACCATGTTATATTTTGTTGTCATGTTTCCTTAGCTGTGACAGTTCTCAGATTCTCCTTGTTTTTGGTGACTTTGACAGTTTTGAGGAGTACTAGTATGTTAGATGATACCCCTCTGTTAGGATTTATCTGAGGGTCTTCTCATGGTTAGTCTGGGGTTTTTGGTTTTGGGAGAGTGATCACAGAGGTAACCCACATTTTCATCACATCATGCCAAGGGGATATGCCATACCCACACCATGGAGGATTAGTGAGGGTGGCTTTGCCCATCTGGCTGAAGGAGTGTCTGCCAGGTTTCTCTGCTATAAGGTCACTCTTTCCCCTCTTCCCTGACCATCCTCTTTGGTAGGAGGTGACTTAAGACATAGGTGGATTTTTGTTGGTGAGATTGTTGCAAAGCTGGTGAATTCCTACTTTTGTCTGGGTTCTCGGTTGAAACTCTTTCAGACCCTTCAGTCATCAGTCAGCTATTGACGTTGATTGAACGGTTAGAAAAGTTGTTTGTAGAAGAGGAGGGTGGCTTCCAGGTTAGGTTGTGTATTGATTCGTTCTTTGCTTATTCATGTAATAGTTACCGTAGTTCATGTGCTGTATGCCAGAGGCTGGGCTGGGTTCCTGGTGGAATATAGGACTTTAAAAGAAATCATGTCTTCCCTTAGTAAGCTCACAGACTATAAGGGTGATGAATGTACAAAGAAGTAAATGCCACATTTAGGAGGCTTTCAGCTGCAAAATCAGAATACTTAAAAGTGGTTTGAAAACTAGATGACATTGTTGCCTCACATCAAATAGCCTGGCGGCAGGGTGGTTGCACGCTTGCTCCAGTGACTAAGGGGGGTCGTTAGGGATTCTGTGTTCCCATCTCTTGGTGTGCGGACTTTGAGTGAACCTCACACCCTGTACAAGAAGGACGTAGCCCTTCTTGCGTAGCTCTCCTTTTTTTTCTGGGAAGAGTATCTTTCCTGGAAACTTCACAGCAGGCTTCCTTTCATTATTCTTTGACCTAAATTGAGTCACATGGCTGCCCCTAGTTACATTGAAAGCTTGAAAAGCAAAATCTGGCACTCTTTGACTTGTGATGTGGCAGAGAGATGGTTGTTAGTTAGGTGGCCAACAAGGTCTGCCGCAGGTGGGCTAGGAGCAGCTAGAGAAATAAGGACAAGGTACAGTTCTTGATCAGCACAAGGTGGAGGTGAGGACTCCTCCAAAAGGCAGGAGACATCTTTGTAGAGTGACTGACATTGACCTCGGCATTGCAGGCACAAGGAATGGACTCTGCAGAGGCGAGAAGTATTTCTGAGGGTGCAGTGGGGTGGTTTGAGGGAGGGAAGCAGAAGGAAGAAGACCATGTGAGGGAGAAAGTAATCGAGAGGCCGTAGAGGGAGAGGTTCTGAAGGACCTGTGGGCCGTGGGTGGTCCATAAGGGTGAGACCAGTGGTGGAATCCAGTGGCTTTGAAAAGTCACTTTGGTTCCAGAACTCTCTGAAGCCTTCCTGGTAGTCAGCATCCTGTAAGGTCCCGGCAGGTCTCTGCACTTAGTGCACTGACAGGCCGGTTCTGCCTCATGTGGGAGGCTTTCCTGGGTGTGGTGGTGAGCCACCGGTGGAGCCCCTTAGAGATCAGTACTTGGACCAAAGCATTCGGAGCACTGTTGCTTTTATGTAGAAACTATCAGGTGAATTAGAGTGCTGTCCTGGAAGCACACCAGCCTCTGTGGTTACTGCACAGGTATCCTCTGCTTTTTGAAAGTTTGCTTTACACCACTTCGCTGGTAGGAAAGACCTACATTAGTATGTTTTCCCCAACTGAAAGGAATCTGAAGAGGATTGTCGCTTTTACAGAAAAAGGTGAGAAGCAAAACTAGCCTTCAGTGTTTCTTTGGCAGTGAGCCATTAGAGGGGCATGTGCACCCAGAGCAGTGAAAGTGGCATCCGTCACCAAGCTCCTTCCCCAGGAACTGCACTCAGTATCTCGCCATCGAGCTGCTGTAGCTTTGAACTGTGCCTGTGAACACTGTGTTGTTGCTGTTGTTAGGTGCCATCAAGTTGGTTCTGACTCAGCGACCCTGTGGACAACAGAATGAACACGGCCCGATCCTCCTGTGCCGTCCTCACAGTCCTTGCTGTGCTTGAGCCCATTGTTGCAGCCACTGTGTCAGTCCATCTCCTTGAGGGCCTTCTTTTTCGCTGGCTTCCACTTTACTAAGCATGACATCCTTCTCCAGGGACTGGTCTTTCCTGACAATATGACCAAAGTCTGAGAGGTGACGATTTGCCATCCGTGCTTCTAAGGAGCATTCCAGATGTACTGCATCCAAGATGGATTTGTTTCTTTTCCTGGCAGTCCATGATATATTCAGTTCTGTTCACCAACATTGTACTTGAGTTGCATCAATTCTTCAGTCTTCCTTTTTCATTCTCTAGCTTTCATATGCATATGAGGCAATTGAAAATACACAGCTTGAGTCAGGCACCTTAGTCAAAGTGACATCTTTGCTCTTTAATACTTTAACGAGGTCTTTTGCAGCAGATTTGCCCAATGTCACTTGATTTCTTGACTGCTGCTTCCATGGGTGTTGATTGTGGATCCAAACAAAATGAAATCCCTGACAGCTTCATTGTTTTCTGTGTTTTTCGTGATGCTGCTTATAGTCCAGTTGTGAGGATTTTTGTGTTCTTCATGGTGAGGTGTAATCTATATTGAAGGCTATAGTCTGATCTTTATCAGTAAGTGCTTGAAGTCATCTTCACTTTCAGCAAGAAAGGCTGTGTCGTTTGTATATCGAAGCTGGTTAATGAGTGTTCTTCCAGTCCTGATGCTGCGTTCTTCATGTAGTCCAGCTTCTCAGATTATTTGCTCAGCATATAGATTGAATAAATATGGCTGCTGGAAGCCTTAAAAGTCACGGTGACTGCTACATGCTAATGTTGTCTTAGGTTTATGGGTTATGTGGTGTGATTTGGTAGGTTAGTTTTTGAGTCTGGGAATGCTAAGTTTCCCACATACAGGAATGGTAATTGTATTTTCCCTTCACATCATTCTACTTTAGGAAGGGTCTCATAGGCATGGGGTGGTGGAGGAAACCCGAATGTGTATTTTGAAACCTTATGTCATTAAGTTTGTGTTGCTTTGTCAGTTCTATAGCCATTTGGCAAAAGCCTTCAGCTATTACTTGGATCTTTTACTACAATTGATTTTTTTCCCCATTTCTCTGATTTATCCCTCTGGGAAGGAAGAGGAGGCTGCAAAATGGGCCCGGGAAGAGGAAGCAGCTCAGCGCCGATTAGAGGAAAACCGGCTGCGGGTGGAAGAGGAGGCAGCCCGCCTGCGGCACGAGGAGGAGGAGCGCAAGAGGCAGGAGCTGGAGCTGCAGCGGCAGAAGGAGCTGATGCGCCAGAGGCAGCGGCAGCAGGAGGCACTGCGCAGGCTGCAGCAGCAACAGCAGCAGCAGCAGCTGGCCCAGATGAAGGTAGGCGCCAGGCGCCGGCTGCAGGAGCCGCGTCGGCCCAGGAGCAGTAAAGGGCTGTGCTGCCTTTGTTGTTAAGTCTTACTGCTTTGGTTTGATGGATTGATCAGCAGCAGAATATGGTACCAGAATGCACTCTGTGTGAGGCATTGAAACAAAAGAGGAATAAACAGATGAGGCTAGGACGTGAGCAGTGAGACAGGCACAACCAAGATTTCCCTACTGTACCCTGGCAAGTTTAGAAAGCCTTCCTAAAAAAGAAAAAAAGAAAGAAAAAGGCCACTTTCAAATGGAGTCTTTAGGGAGGGATAATTGTGAGAAGTAACCAAGTGGCATGGCAAATGAGGAGGGAGATGTGTGTGGGAGAGGAGACAACATGGGGTAAAGAGAGGTATGAAGTTTGGAAAGACTGTGGCATGTTTGGGGGGTTTGAAAAGCATATTTTACTGTTGCTGGAATGTGAGGTCTGCATTGAGAGTGGGCAGAGGCCAGTTCTCCAGGGGCTGCATACACCCGGCTAAAGACTGAGGACTTCAGAGTATGTGGAAAGAGTGGGCCTCTGAGCACTCTCAGACGGGGAACAGTACCATCAGGCTTACAGGAGTAAATAGGTCACCCTGAGAGCTAACCTGAAGATGGACTTGAGGACGACACGCCTGGAAGTCAGCAGACCAGCTGAGGGGTGCTGGTGGAGTCCCCCAGGTAGGGAGAGAGGGCTTTGATGTAGGCCTAGTGGTGGTGGGCTTAGAGAGCTCAAATAAAGACAGTTACCATAAAGGCCCAGCAATCTGATTCCTAGCTCCTGAAGAAACAAGAGCATGCATCCACCCAAAAATGTGCCTGTGACTGTTATGAGTGGCCTTATCTCTAACAGTCTAAAGACGGAAACGACCCAAATATCCATCAACTGATAAATGGATAAACAAAATGTGATCTACATATACAATGGAGAATTACTGGCCATGAAGGAGACTGAAGCACTGACATGTTACAACACGGATGAACTGGAAAACATGATGCTGAGCGAAAGACGACAGTCACAAAGGACCACGTATCATACGATCCACTCACAGGAAATGCCCAGGATAGGCTATTAAAATACAGAGGGGAGATTTGTGGCTGCTCAGGGCTGAGGGACATTGGGGGACGTAGAGGGATGACAGAGGATGAAAATGTACTAAAACTAGCTGTGGTGGACTGTTGCACATACTGTGTCAGGGGTGTGGAAGAAATGATAAAGTAAAAGAACTGAACAGAAGATTTCAAAGAGCAGCTTGAGAAGACCAAGTCAAGTATTACAATGAAATGTGCAAAGACCTGGAGTTAGAAAAAAGGGAAGAAGAACACAGTTGCCATTTCAAAAGCAGAAAGGGAGGAAAAGTTCAAGTCTTGAATTTCGATATTAAAGGATTCTATGGACAAGATATCGAATGACCCAGGAAGCATCGAAAGAAGATGGAAGAAATAAACGGAGTCACTGTACCAAAAAGAACTGGTCAGTACTTATGGTACTTAAGGTTATGTGTCACCTTGGTTGGGCCTGATTTTGAGTGGCTGGCCAGCTAGATGTAGTGATTCCCCGTAGTGAGACTGATAATCAGCTCCATGGTGGAATCTGCTGTGAGTAGCTGCTTTAGGGATATGGTCTGCTTCCAGTATATAAGAAGCAGCTTTGAGAAAGGTCTTTAGCTTTTTGGCATGCTTGGATCCTGCATTTAGCTGAGTCTTCATTCAGCAGCCTGCCATGTTGCCTGCCGATCTTGGGATGGTTTCTGGACTTGAACTAGTGGTCTGCCGTGTTACTTGTTGACCTTGGGTTTCTCAGCCTAGCAGCCAGAAGTTGCTTGAGTTAAGAGACGGCCTCCAGATTCAGTGGGCCAGGAGCAAGAAGCAGAACTAAAGTCCAAGGTTGAGGGGTCATCCCGCCCCTAGCACTGGCACTTTGAACTCAGACTTCTAGTCCCCTAAACTGTAAGAGAATAAATCCCTGTTTGTTAGAGTCATCTTCTGGTAATATGTCTGTTACAGCAGCACTAGGGGACCATAACAACACTCAGCCATTCCAGGTGAATAGCATATGATCAAGAACCAATGATACTGAAGGAGTAAGTCCAAGCTGCCACTGAAGGAATTGATGAAAAACAAGGCTCCAGGAACTGATAGAATACCTGTTGAAATGTTTGAGCAAACTGATGCACCACTGGTGGTGCAGACTCGTTTATGCCAAGAAATTTGGAAGACAGCTACCGGCTAACCAATTGGAAGAGATCCATATTTGTGCCCATTCCAAAGAAAGGTGATCCAACAGAATGTGGAAATTATAGAACAATCTCATTAATACGCATGCAAGTAAAATTTTGCTGAAGATAATTAAAAACGGTTGCAGCAGTATATTGACAGAACTTCCAGAAATTCAAGCTAGATTCAGAGGAGGATGTGGAATGAGGGGTATCATTGCTGATGTCAGATGGATCTTGGCTGAAAGCAGAGAATACCAGAAAGATGTTTATCTGTTTTAGTGACTCTGCAGAGGCATTTGACTGTTTATCATAACAAATTATGGATAACATTGACAGGATTGGGAATTCCAGAACACTTAATTGTGCTCATGAGGAACCTGTGCATAGACCAAGAGGCCGTTGTTCAAAGAAAACAAGAGGATATTGTGTGGTTTAAAATGAGGAAAGGTGTGTGTGGTAGTTTTGTTTTTGTGTCAACTTGGCTGGGCCTGGTTGAGTGGCTGGGCAGGCAGCTAGTGGTGGTTATTCCCCATGATGAGACTGGCAATCAGCTCCATGGTGGGATCTTCCACAAGCAGCAGCTGAATAGCGGCTTTGGGTATGTGGTCTGCTTCCCATGTATAAGGAGCAGCTTTGGAAATGGTCTCTAGCATATGGCACGCTTGGACCCTGCATGTAGCCATGTCGTCGTTCAGCAGCCTGCCATACTCTGCCAACCTTAGGACTTACGATGAACTTGAATTAATGACCTCCATGTGGTGTGATAACATCGGGAGTGTGACTTTTTACTTGTCAACCTTGGGCTTCTCAGCCTCAGCAGCCAGCAGCTGTCTGAGTGAAGAAATGCCTCTAGCTCCAGTGGGCTGGGAGCAGGAGGCAGAGCTGGACCCCAAGATAAGGTTGAGGGGCTTTCACCCAGCCCTTAGAGCCTGGCACTTTGAACTTGGACTTAAAGCCTCCAAACTGTAAGATAATAAACTCCTGTTTGTTAAGGCCATCCCATTTGTGATATATTGTCATCAGAGCAGCACTAGGTAACTAGAACAGTGTGCATCAGGGTTGTATCCTTTTACCATCCTCACTCAGTCTGTATGCTGAGCAAATCCAAGAAGCTGGACTATATGAAGAAGAATGTAGGATCAGGATTGGAGGAAGACTCATCAACAACCTACAGTATACAGACAACAAAACCTTGCTTGCTGAAAGTAAAGATGACTTGAAGCACTTACTGATGAAGATCAAAGACTACACTGTCTAGTATGGATTATACCTCAACATAAAGAAAACAGAAATCTTCAGAACTAGACCAGTAAGCAGCATCACAGTAAACGGAGAAAAGATTGCAGTTGTCAGGGATTTAATTTTACTTGGATCCATAATCAATGTCCATGGAAGCAGCAGTCAAGAAATCAGAAGTCTGGGGAAATCTGCTGTAAAAGACCTCTTTAAAGTATTAAAGAGCAAAAGTGCCACTTTGAAGACTAAGGTGCACCTGACCCAAGCCGTGGTATTTCCGTTTGCCTCAGAAGTGTGTGAAAGGTGGACAATAAATAAGGAAAACTGAAGAAGAATTGATTCCTTTGAATTGTGGTGTGGATGAAGAATATTGAAAGTACCAGGGAGTGCCAGAAGAACAAACAAATCTGTCTTGGAAGAAGTGCAGCCAGAATGCTCCTTAGAAGTGAGGATGACCAGACTTGGTCTCTTTTACTTTGGTCATGGTGTTAGAAGGGACCATTCTCTGGAGAAGGATGCCGTGCTTGGATAAAGTAGAGGGTTCGCAAAACAGGGAAGGACCCTGAGCGAGATGCACTGACATGGGTTGTAAAGACGGGCCCGAGTGTGTCAACGATCGTGAGGGGGGTGCAGGGCCGGGCAGTGTTTTGTTGTGTTGTGCTTAGGGTCACTGTGTGTCGGAGCTGATGGCACTGACAACAATAGTTTGTTTTTCTTTTGTTACTTGTGCTTTAGGTGTCGTGTCTGAGAATCCGTTGTGAAGTTTGACGTCATGAAGATTTACTCTTCTGTTTTCTCCCAAGGGTTTTTATAATTTTAGAATTATTTGACAATGTCAGGGAAAATATAAATGGTTTGCCCTTTATCCATCATTTCTCCTCTTAGAAATTTCTGCTGTCCATTCTTTGTAGGACTGTTTTGTATATTGTTTGTTTTAATCCATATATTTATTAAACAATTTTTAAATGGCTTTATCTCTTTTTTGTTTTTTTAAAGATTCATAAGACATTTCAAAATTGCAGTGTTAACTGTTCTGACCACAAAGGACAAGGCTTCTCTTAGAATAACTAGGCTTTTGAAAACATTATTTTCAGGACTCAAATAGTTACACTACTCTCAGTAATGTTAAGGGACAGGAAAACCAGCACACTTGGATACAGACAGCTTTGTGCTGGTGACTAGAAGCTACAGCCTGGTTCAGAGGCACCCCATCTCCTCAAAGCCCATGGGGAACTCTGCCTGTGGTTCCCATAGCTGCCGCTCCAGCCCTCCCTTCACATGCTCGTCCTTAGCCCTTTCTCTGCCAGAGCATAACCTTCCCCTTTTTACCTAGTGGGATTAAAAATCTCCAGGCCAGTCTTGATACTTTTGTTGCCTCCTTTCACTTGGTTGGATGTGTATTGCTGTGTATGTCAGGGCCAGATGTAACATTTGCAGTCCCAAAATGGTAGATCAAATACAAGTGTATGTATTTTTTGTCCTAAATTGTTTAAAATCATACAAGGTTTGGGGTAGTGACAAGAGATTAAGGAAGCAAAAATTGCAAGAGAATCCCATGTTAAAGTGGCATTGGATGCTGGAGAGTTGAGGGAAACATGCTGTGTGGCTGGCTGTGCACTGTGCATCATTGTTGGTTTCCAGCCCCCCTTGTCTCATGAACTCTTTCCCTTGTTTGTTAGCTCCCCTCTTCTTCAACGTGGGGCCAGCAGTCCAGTACAGCGGCATGTCAGTCCCAGGCGACACTGTCTTTGGCTGAAATCCAAAAATTGGAAGAAGAACGAGAACGGCAGCTTCGAGAAGAGGTAAATTTGAAAGTGAAAGTGGTCTAGTGAAGCAGTTCCTGAATCACTAGTGTGCATTGTGGGTTAGTGGCTGCTGAAGGAGGTTCTTGGTGTCAGTATTGTTACAGTGGATGTTCATTATGCAGTGCTTTCAGTGACAGTTTGGTCACTCTAACAAATGCTAGCTGCCATCCAGTAGCCCCGACTCACGGCGAACCCATCCACGATGGAGCACAGCACTGCGTGGTCCTGCGCCAGCCCCTCGATGGGTTGTGAAATGGACTGTTGGGATCCAGCATGTTTTCCTTGGCTGATTTTTGCAAGTAGGTTGCCAGGCTTTTCTTCCTAGTCTGTCCTAGTCTGGAAGCTCAGCAGAAACTTGTCCAGCATCGTAGCAACACGCAAACCACCACTGAGAGCCAGGTGTGTGAGGTACACTGGCTGGGAACTGAACCGTGGTTTCCAGGCAAAGGGTCTACCGTTGAGCCACTGCTGCCCCTTTGACAGATATGGAGGATCTGCTAGGAATACAGTTGGGTGGCAGAAATGTGCAGTTGTCTTGAACATTTTATTACAGCTCTTCCCAGTGGCTTGTAAATAAATTTACATGGGTCATTTAAAATTGTGGGTGAGTTTTGTAGAAAACATACTTTTGTAAATTTGATGTTTAGAATACAGAATACATTTTTCTCTAAAAGGTGTTAACGTTTTCTGACTAACCTAGAAAATGAAAGAAGGTATCTCTGCTTTTAAATCTGTATTCTGTAGTTGATATTAGTAAGGAAGTACGCAAAGATATGAGAGACGGAACAAAGCAAGAGCATGGTTCTTGACAGGGGAGCTGGATCAGCATGCCATCAGGGGCCGTGTTCATTCGTTCACCACATTACTGGATACCTACTCAGTTACAGGGAGCCCTGGTGGTAGTACAGTGGTTAAAGTGCTTGAGCACTACCTGAAATGTGGGTGGTTCACACCCACCAGCTGCTCCATGAGGGAAAGACGATGCACTCTGCTTCTGTAAAGATTTACAGCCTAGGAAACCCTAAGGAGGCGGTTCTGCTCCGTCCTATAGGGTCTCTATGAGTTGGAATCAACTGAATGGCAGCAGGTTTACTTTGTTATAGTCTGGGGATATAGCTGAGACTAAACCAGACAAAAATCTGTGCCTTTAATACACAGGATTAAAGTAGGAGGTAGTAAGTAAGCTCCAGAGGGAAGGAAAGTGGGAAGGCATTGTATCTTAGGACATGAAATGGTTATGGTGATAGGAGTGACTGTCCATTTGTAAGTAGTGTGGCCTGGGAGGGCCTCTGAAAAGGTGACTTCATGTAGCAAAGACCTGGAGAAAGTGCTTGGGGCTGTGATTGGAGACAGAGCAGTTGTTTGTGAGAGAAGCTATGTCATCGTTTTTGGACCTGGGTAGTATGTTCCCTGAAACAAGGGCCACGGTGTTGACGTGCTTTACCTTGAAAATCATCCAACCCTCACCTTCTTTTAAAAAAAAGAAGGATAAGACAACTTTCTCTGAAATTATTTCTCTCTGAAAGGTTGTCAACAAATTTGGAGGAGCAAAGTATCTCTTCTTTCAAGGCTAGAAATTATTTCCATAACTTGGATCTCTGCTGAATAAAACAGAATTAATAGTGAGGATCACAGTGGGAATCACAGTCTTGTTCATCTTTTTATTAACGCCTCTGGTGAGAAGTTGATGATTGCCTCTTACTCATTTTCTTTGATTAATTTTCTTTTAACGTCTGCATCTTCCTACACCCTTCAGAAGCTTTATGAGACGTCACTTAATACCTGTTTCCCACGTAGAGGAACCTCAGATCACTTCATTGCTTCTGTTCCTGGGAAACGTCTTTCCCGGATCCCTCTACCCTCTTCCAGTCTGGAGGTTCTTACTTGCTGTTCAGCCAGTCTTGTGTCATCTGAGATTGCCCCCTTCGACTGATTTTAATTTTTTAATCTTTTCTCTGTCTTATCTTTCCTAATGGAACTTTTCCTCATTTTTATTTTTCTGTTCTTCTGTTGAACTTTCAATTTATGCTATCCTGTTTCATTACTGGTGTCTGATGGGTCTTGGCTCAAAGCAAAGAATCCAGAAAGATGTTTTATTGACTACGCGAAGGGATTCGACTGTGTAGATAACAAATTACGGATGACATTGAGAAGAATGGGAATTCCAGAACACTTAGTTGTGTTCATGAGGAACCTGTACATAGACCAGGAGGCTGTCGTTCAGACAGAACAAGAGTACACTGCATGGTTTAAAATCAGAAAGGGAGTGCATCAGGGTTGTATCCTTTGACCATATTTATTCAGTCTGTATGCTTAGCAAATAATCCGAGAAGCTGGGCTATAATAAGAATGTGCCATCAGGATCGGAGGAAGAATTATTAACAACCTGTGATATGCAGGTGACAACAGCCTTGCTTGCTGAAAGTAGAGAAGACTTGAAGCACTTACTGATGAAAATTGAAGACTGCAGTCTCTAGTATGGATTACATTTCAGTATACAGAAAACATAAATCCTCACAACTAGACCAATAAGCAGGATCACGATAAATGGAGAAAAGACTGAAGTTGTCAAAGATTTCATATTACTTGGTTCCACAGTCAGTAGTCATGGAAGCAGCAGTCAGGAGATCAGATGAGGTATTACACTGGGCAGATGTGCTGCAAAAGACCTCCTTCAATTGCCGAATAGCAGAGATGTGTCTTTTGAAGACTAAGGTGTGCATAACCCAGGGCATGGTGTTTTCAGTTGCCTCATATGCATGTGAAAGCTGGACTGTGAATAAGGAGGACTGAAGAATAGTTGATGCTTTTGAATTGTGGTGTTGGCAAAGAATACTGAAAGTACCTTGGACTGCCAGGAGAACTAATAAACCTGTCTTGGAAGAAGTACAGCCGGAATGTTCCTTGGAAGTGAGAATGGCCAGACTTTGTCTGACCTACTTTGGTCATGTTGTCAGAATGGACCATTCCCTGGGGAAGGGTATCATGCTTGGTAAAGTGGAGGATCAGTGAAACGGGAAGGCCATCAACGGGACGGATTGGCACAGTGGCTGCAACGATGGGCTCAAGTATAGCAAGGATTGTGAGGCTGGCACAGGACCGGACAGTGTTTTGTTCTGTTGTACATGGAGTCACTCTGTCTCGGAGCCGACTCGATGTCACCTAACAACAGCAACAGTCCTATTTTAAATTCCCTCGAGATCTTGTTTTCTTTAAATGTTTCTTTTTATATCCTATTGTTCTTGGTTCATGGGCCATCCTACTGCTAAGGATATTACTGACTGCTTTCTTAAATGCTGGGACTCTCATGGTTGTAGTGGTTAAGACATTTGGCTGCTAACCAAAAGGTCAGTAGTTTGAACCCACCAGCTGCTCTGTGGAAGAAGGATGGAGCAGTCTGCTTCCATAACGATTTAATAGACTGGGAAACCCAGTGGGGGTCACTATGAGTTGGAATCAACTTGATGGCAGTGAGTTTTTTTTTTTTCTTAAAAGCTAATTCCTGTTTTCCCTTGTCTTGTTTCTGTTTGCACTGATTTTGTTGTTGTTGTTGTTTTGTTTTAGGCTTTGTCCTTCCTCTAAGAAGCCCACACCAAATGTTTGGTGGTCCTGGGCTGTGTGTTCATCTTTAAGAGTAATGTACTACAAAGCCTGTTGGGAGGTTTGGTGTATTGTACACTTTGGTGGGCATCACTTCCCCTCATCTCTTGGTATCTGTACTTCTTTGTTCTTGAGCTGATTAGTTTCCCCATAGGATGATTCACCAGTCTTTTGCCTGGGAGGTGAGCCTGAGGAGGGCAAAGGTTAGGGCTCTGATTCAGCCGCTCCAACGAGGAGACATTCCATTTCTTTCTGGGGTCAGGGAGACAATTACCTGAATGTGTAGGGTGGGGGAAGCAGTCCGGCTTTCAGCCAGTCTTCCTGTTGTTAGCCTTAGTTGAGATACCCAGCACCTCAATTCCTAAGCTTTCTATATGAATTACCCTGTTTCTGAGCTTCCTTTACTTAGGTGTGAATTTATTGGGCCTGTTACATTGGTTGTCATCTTATCCGATTAGAAAAAATCCACTCGCCATCGGGTTGATTTCAACTCCTAATGGCCCGCATAAGATTTCCAAGGCTGTAAATCATTACGGAAGCATACAACCTCATCTTTCTCCCATGGAGCAGCTGGTGGATTTTCTGAACCACCAACCTTTTGGTTAGCAGGCAAATGCCTTGGACCGCTGAGCCACTGGAGCACCTTATTTATCTGATGACCAGCTTTTAAATCTCTTCTTGTTTTCTCTGTCCATAACTAGGGGCTTGTGCTTTTTATAAAAACATGTTTTCTGACACTTCGGTGAGGCCTTAAGGAGCTCTGCTGGTATAGTGGAAAAGGCATTTTGGCTGCTGACCAAAAAGGTCAGCACTTCAAACCCACCAGCCGCTCCGTAGAAGGAAGATGGGGCAATCTACTTCTGTAAAGATTTACAGCCTTGGAAATCCAACATGGGTCACTGTGAGTCAAAATTGACTCAATGGCGGTGAGTTTGGTTTGGTTTGGTTGTTGTTGTTGTTGTTGTTGTTATGTGCTGTCGAGTCGGCCCCGACTCATAGCGACCCCTCCTTGGGTTTCTGAGGCAGTATCACTACGGAAGTAGATTGCCCCATCTTCCTTCCGAGGAGTGGCTGGTGGGTGGTTTGGTTAGTAAGGCTATATAGGAGATTTCGTTTCCGTGTTCAGTCAGAAGCTCTACTGAATTTTTAAGAAGTAATTCTGCATTTGATCTCTTCTTCTTCTCATAGTACCTCTGACCATATACACCTTTATATGCAGCCAGTTAACCCAGTTCAGTATTTTATGTAGTTTCACGTGGCCATGTGTCTGCGCTCCCCTGAGAAGTATATTGGACGTTTGCAACATGAGTCTGAAAACAGGCATGCTTTTGTTTTCGCGCCGCAGCAGAGGCGCCAGCAGAGGGAGCTGATGAAGGCGCTCCAGCAGCAGCAGCAGCAGCAGCAGCAGAAGCTCTCCGGTTGGGGCAATGTCGGCAAGCCTGCAGGGACCACGAAATCCCTTCTGGAGATTCAGCAGGAAGAGGCCAGGCAAATGCAAAAGCAGCAGCAGCAGCAACCAAACAGAGCCCGGAACAATGCGGTGGGTCCGTCTCCCTAAGCCGTCAGTGCGTGGACTGGTATTATCAGTTCTCTTTTCTGACTCTTGTGGATGCTTTGGCTTAAAATCTTTTTTTTCAGTATTGTTTAATGGTATTAAATATCACTGTCTGTTTCTTTAACAGCATTCCAACCTGCACACCAGCATTGGGAATTCTGTCTGGGGCTCTATAAATACAGGTCCCCCCAACCAGTGGGCTTCTGACCTAGTCAGTAGTATCTGGAGTAATGCTGACACGAAAAACTCCAACATGGGATTCTGGGATGATGCAGTGAAAGAGGTGGGACCCAGGAATTCAGCAAATAAAAATAAGAACAATGCTAGTCTCAGGTAGGTGCCAGTGAAGAAGCTGTCGCTCCTCGGGGTGGGGGTTGTGTTTAGGGGAGAGGTGCAAGGGAAGGGCATTCTTGAGTTTCTGAGGATGATTTTCATCTCTGCCCAAGCACATGGACTCATAGTTTTGATGCTTGCTTTCTTCTCCATAGAAACACATTTGCATTGTTTCCAGTGGCTCCTTCTGAGAATGTTTCAGCTGCTGAGCACTTAGTCCATTGCCTAGCACATGGTAACCATGTAGAGCTGTTAGGGGTAGTGTAACATTTCTGTTGTTGGGCGTTTCTCTAAATTGACACTGTAAGTTATTTACACTGTGAGTATTGCGAACACCTCTGCAGTGACCTGAAGTCTGTGGGCTTTTTGACGAAGCAGTTACATTGCGTCTTTACCTTCCTTTCCGCAGTAGGCAGTGTTGTTGAAAGAGCATGGAGCTTGGTATCACACACGTGAGCTCACACCCTGGCACTACCACTTAGAGCTGTGTGACCTTGGGCAAGACGGACCGCTTTGAGCCTCAGTTCCCCACCTATAAGATGAAGACAGAACGGCCACTTGATGGGCGTGACTGAAGATTATGTGACTGCACATGAAGTAGCTAGTAAAGTGCCTGGCACATAGTGACCACTTCATGAACGGTAGTGTTGTCAGGGGGCTGCTCCTTGGACAAAGGCCTGATACCTTAGGTGAAAGACAACAGGTGTCTGTTGGCTCCTCGAGCAGCTTTGCCTGGCACTCTTGCCCTAGGCCTTTGTAACCTTACGGGGCGTTCATGCCATTTTACAGATGGGGAAACTGAGGCTTAGTTAAAGTGAAGCAACTTACCTAAGGACACAGGGAGAATGCAACAATCTCCTCTGAACAGAAGTTCTGTAATTACAGACTAGAGTGTGTTAGCTGAGTCTAGGCTTTCAAGGGATATTGAGTCTTCCTCCCCACTCCCCAATCCAGGTATTTGAGTTTCTGTGTGTGTGTGTGTTGGAGTCAAGCATTCGTTGGATTATTGGACAGTCATCCAGTGTGTATTGTAGTATAATTACGATAGTAACAGTGTCTGAGAATATAATACCGCCCTATTGTTTTGCTTCAGTAAATCTGTAGGTGTGTCTAACCGGCAGAATAAGAAAGTAGAAGAAGAAGAAAAGTTGCTGAAGCTCTTTCAGGGAGTAAATAAAGCCCAGGATGGATTTACCCAGTGGTGTGAACAGATGCTTCATGCCCTTAATACGGCAAATAACCTGGATGGTAAGAACCGGGGAGGGAGCCCAGCATGTGCAATGGCAGAGGCAGAGCCGCACAGAGGCTGGCAGGTTGGAATAGGGAGTGGAAATCCAGGAGGGGTAATCGAGCAGAGGTCAAGTCCCGCACCTGCTGTAAGAACTTGACGGTTTTAATATTCCTTGTGAGAAAAGGCCTCTAATCCTGAGCCCAGACAGGTTATCAGTGATTGTCAAAAAGTGCCATCTCTAGCTGCCTTAGCACTGTGCAGGACAGTGGAAGCTGTGGCACCACATGCCTCAGTTCATGAAAAAGGCCGGTGCTGGCACCAGCTGGGTGAAGTCCAGAGAAAGGCAGCTGTTGTGGTAGGGAAAGGTCAGCCTGGGAGAGAAGGGTGAGGGGATGCGCCAGCATTGCCTTCCTCCCTGTGTGGGGCTGGGGGTCATGTGACACAGCAGGTAGACTGACTGTGTGGCCGTGGCAGGTCCCAGCGCAGTGTGGAGAACAGCTTGTTTAGACTTAGCTGTTCATGGGGGGTGGGGGTCATGTGCCTGAGGTGGAAGTGAGCCCCCCCAGTCTGGACAGAGGCTGCTCAGGCCTCTTGTGGAAGGACCCCACACTGAAAGATGACGTGGCCTTGTCTTCCCCACCTCTTCTGTGACACCAAACCAGTGCCACTGAGTTGACGCCAACTCACAGTGACCCTGTGTGCCTCAGAGCAGAAGTGCTGTCTTTAGGGCTGTCGGGGTGGGGGGTTGTTCAGCAGGATATTGCCAGGCCTTTCTTCCAAGGTGCTCAGGGCAGACTCAAACCGCCCATCTTTTGTTTAGCAGCCGAGCACTTTAACCATATGCACCACCCAGGGGCTTCTGTCTAAAACCAAGAATCTATTGGAAGCAGCGCTGATAGGCTGGAAGGGCTCTTTGTTGCAGCGTAGCAGAGCATCTCAGGGTCTGAGGTCTCCACAGAAAATGAGGCAGTAGCAGCAGCAGCTGCCACCGGTAGGGCAACACCTGCCATGTGCTAGGCACTTTCTAGGGGCCAACATGTGCTACCCCGCTGATTTCACTTTTGCAGCAATTTTGTGCCTCTATGATATGGGTGATAATATTGCAATTTTATAAATTAGGAAACAGAGGCTCAGAATGGTTAAGTAACTCATCAAGGTCACACAGCCAGCAAAATTCAGGGTCCGGTTTGAAGCCCATGTCTGTCTAACTCTTACCCTTGTGCTTTCCCCCTGTGTACACTGCTTGCGTGTGCCATCTGATTCCCCTCTGTTACTCTCTCCGTGGATTAAAAGCTCCAGGAGGAGACTTCAGTCTGTGTTGTGGTGCCTGGTACACCTCAAAGCTCAGAGTAAACAGTACTGAATTCAAGGAAAGAATGCTTGACAATCACTGCCATCCCAGGCAAACAGCTGTTCCATCAGCATAACAGTTGGTGACATTAGCCCTGTGCGCTATGCCTGTGTTGTTTCAGACAGTTGGGGGCATCACAGTGGTAGCAGCTTTTTTCATCTCCACATAAGAAGCGTGTAGGATACAGTAGCTGCATACTTTTCAAGTTTCTGTCATTAACATCTGTAGTAGGCGTCGCAGTCTATTAAAAACCGACACAGATTTTTGACCATGGCGTTTTATTACTTCGTTTTTACTATATATGTCTTCTCCTCTCCCATGTTGCAGTTCCTACATTTGTTTCTTTCCTGAAAGAAGTAGAATCTCCTTATGAAGTCCATGATTATATCAGGGCCTATTTAGGCGATACTTCTGAGGCCAAGGAGTTTGCCAAGCAATTCCTCGAGCGCCGTGCCAAACAGAAAGCCAGCCAGCAGCGGCAGCAGCAGCAGCAGCAGCAGGTACGAGGGTGAAATGAGCATGAAGTGAGGGCACCGCGTCCGTGCGTGAAGGAGTCTTAATACCCACGAATGCTGAGTGACCACGGAAGTGCAAACTAAGACCCAGAAGTCGTGACGTTTCCCAGGACAGGCCTTGGGGATGCTGAGCATTTGAGGGAGATGTCATACATGAAGAAAATGGTGGCTCAGAGGCCCGTTCTTGCTTTCATTGTTTTCAGAGCCATGCTCTGCCTCCGCACGCTGGGTGATGGGAAGGGCAGACCCACCCCCACTGTGTAATCTCCTGTGCTGTGCTGTCTCATCTCGTAGGATTCTGTGTGGGGGATGGACCACAGTGCACTCCATTCAGTATTTCAGACCAATCAAAGCAACAACCAACAATCCAACTTTGAGGCTGTACAAAGTGGCAAGAAGAAGAAAAAGCAGAAGATGGTCCGAGCAGATCCCAGTTTATTAGGTGAGCACAGCTCAGGCTCTCTGGGTGCTGGCATGGTGTGCACAGGTGGTAGTGATCCTGTGTGAGCCCCCCGTGTGGAGTGTTTTCAGCCAGCTCCAGGTAAGTAGTAGCCAGTAGTGACTGGGCCTCTCAGTGCAGGGCTGGGCCTCAAGCTATAGGGAGTAAGGAAAGCTACCGTGATACTGGGCGGCGCACTGCACTCTAAAACATTTCTTATTTCATATGAATTTCCCTGGAGGACTTTTCAGTGTAATGGAGGAATAAACCTAAGGGAGAGCAGTTGTTGTTGTTGTTGTTTGCCATCGAGTCAGCCCCGACTCATAGCGACCCCTCTTTGGGTTTCCGAGGCAGTATCACTACGGAAGTGGGATTGCCCGACCTTCCTTCCGAGGAGTGGCTGGTGGGTTTGAACCGCCAGCCTTCTGGTTAGCAGTCAAGTGCCTTAGGCACTGTGCCACCAGAGCTCCCCAGGGAGAGCAGTGGGAGTCGTAAACTGTCAACGCTTGTTGGTTGGGAGCAGACCGTAAAGGTGATGAGATGCTCCAAGCAGGCCAGTGTTGGTTGCTGTCCACTCTGTGTGCCATGAGTGTGTCTCAGGACGGCTGTACATCAGCAGGAGTGGCCCAGTTTTACACATAGTCAACCAGGGTCCTGAGAACTTAGAACATTTCTGGGGAGCCCACAGCTGCTGAGCTTGGAGCTGGGATTTCAGAGGCCTGTTTTCTTTCCACTGTTCTATGTTACCCACACCTATTTTTATCTCACACAGAGGACCAGTGTCTTCATACAAAGCATCTTCCTAGAAAGATTGACACCTAGAGTGGGTCTCTGAACGACTGGCAGGAAGGAAAGGGAATGGTGTTTTAGGAATAATAAGTAACACAGGCAAAGCTCATGAGCTGCCTGTGTTTCTAAAATTGGCCAAATAGTCTCTCAGAGAGAGATGAAATTAAAATTATTCTCTATAAATGTAAAAACCACAGGCTGTACTAAAACCAGTGTGTCTGAAATAGAATGGGCATACTGGCCAACAGGAAATTTGGGATGTTGGCCCAGTCAGGAGGTAGGCTTATTAGCTAGCAAGTAGTAGACTGGGTGAGATACTGGTGGCCTGAGGTAGGGTTTTGGCACTGAGGATGGAGAGGAGTTAGATGGGATTTTAGGAATTTAGGAATAGAGTCACCTGGACAAGGAGAGTGGAAAGGTCTCTGGCTTGAGCAGCAGGATTGCTGGTGTTACAGGGCCGAAGTGATGAGTGCTGGACAGTGGCTTGTGGGGAAAGGACATGGCGTTGACGCGTTGAGCCAAGTGAGTTGAAACACCGAGGAGACCTCAGGTGGAGATGCCGTGTGCAGGTGTTTCTGAGCCCGCACGGCAAGCGTTGTTGTCGTCTGCTCAGTGGTTGTTGGTTGGCAGGTTCTATAAGCTCAGTCAGCTGTTTGCTGCACAGGAAAAAGCAAAATGATGTAGCGAAAACCTAACTTTGAAGGCTACCCGTTGCAGTGGGTGTCCAGAAGCTGGATTTGATATGGAGAGATCTGGTGAAGTTCTGTTTCCTTCTGCCTTCAGAGTCACTGTTGATTGAGGATGGCTAGAGCTGTCCAGAATATTACACACTTTTGACAGAAACGGGTGCATACAGATGGCAAAGCGTTCCTTAAGTTCTGGTTCTGGGTCCTAGTGAAGAATCCCCTGCAGTTAGCTGTGGAGTTCCAGGGTGAGCCTCAGTGGGAGGTTCCTCTGACAGTGAGGTGAAGCTGTTTGGACGTGGGTTCCGTAACTGGCGCCACCTCCTATCAGAGCCCTGGAAGGAAAGGAACTTGTAGGAGCAGAGTTTAAGGAATCCATGTTATCTTCAAGCAAAGTAAATAAACAAGTAAATTAAATAACATATGCAGTCAATGCATTCAACAAGCCATTGAGGGAAGTCACTTGGATGGGCTCTTAACCTGGGCCATTTTATGGAAATTTGTTTAACTAAAACTGGAAATTCCTCTGACAATTGGTAATTTCTGTACTTTACCTCCTCATTTCTGTTTTTATTATTAATCATGTATATCTTAATTATTTGATAAATATCTTCAGTCACAAATTTCCCCTTGGGAAGAATGGAAAAATAATTTCTGATTTTTATCCACAAGTAGCCATTGTAGACCTTTGCTTCTGAAACAGCCGGCAGAGGGAGCTCCAGCATCACCTTGATTATCACTGTCCTCCGTCCTCTGTGACTTCCTCTAGTTTGAAAGAGCAGCCAGGTGGCAGTTGTGAGCCAGCACACGCACACGGTGCAGTTTCCTTCCAGCCTTCAGTTGCGTGGATGCTGTGGCCTCCAGAGTCGGGTGCCTGGGCGTGCCTCCTCACCTGCCTCGTGGTCTCCTGACTTCCCTTCTGTGTGCCATGGCTGGGGGCGAGGTGGGGGTCGGTGCTCCCCTGATCGTGTTTCTGTTGTTGTTGTTGTTGTCGTTGTTATTTGCCGTCGAGTCGGCCTCAACTCATAGCGACCACTCCTTGGGTTTCCGAGGCACTATCACTACGGAAGTAGGATTGCCCAGCCTTTTTCTAATGACAGTTAGAAGGGACTAGGCTGCTCAAAGCCTTAGCCCAGTAATCGGTGTAACATTAAATAATAGGTAACTTTTTTTTTTTTGCCCGGGCTTATCCTCCTTAGTGTCTTTTCATGACAAAAGTAATTTAGTTTGTAAACAAATTCTATAACAAACTGTAGCTCATTCTTGTGTCTGTCACAGTTCAGCCATTATTTGTTGAGATTGATGAGAAAAACCTGCCTCAGAATAGAGTAAAAGCTCATTTCATCAACTCTTCAGTCTTTTGTTTCTTATATTTATCTCATAAAACCGTACTTTAAAAAATATGAACACTGAGCCTTTCAGTATTTTCCGAGGAAAGAAGCCTTGTGGGTTCTGGGAGCAGCATGGAAGGGGTAGAACTCAGGACAGGCTTGGAGTCTTTGCCCCTCCCTAACTGGGCCTTGCAGGCAGCTTGTGCCGCCGCCTCCTTGGTCCTCAATAGGTGTGTTGATGTTTTCCCGTCGCTTCCCGTCTAGGTGTTTTTGAGTCCAGGATGCCATGTAATTAAGCTCTATTCATTTGTAAGCCGTTTTTGTTTATTATCAGTACATCTTCAATGAGTATTTGTTTGAAAACTTGAACAGTGAGGGACATAAAGGGGCGGAGAGAAAACCCAGAGCAAACGAACAGAACTGCTTTTAGCAGGGGCAGCGTCACCTGTTTACTTTTTGGTCTTCAAGGAGCAGCTTAGAACAGTGGAGGTGTTACTCAGCCTGGATGAACTAAATAGCTTTTTTGGGGCAACTGCTCATTGGAAGGGACCTTTTTAATAGTTTTTGGTCTGTCTCTGATCATGGGGTGTACTGAAGAACTGCTTGCCTGTGGCTGATGGCAGTTAGGGTCAGAGGTCAGCATGTCAGTGAGCACCACTTGTTGCCTTGATGGGCAGCCAGTACTGCTTTTCTAAATCAGACTCTTCTTGGTTCATCCCGTATTGTTCACAGAAGGTCTTCCCTTTACAGATCTACTTCCAGTCGTTGGAGTGGAGTAGAGGGCTTGGGTCTTTCTGTTCCCTCTACTGTGGGGTAGGAGGAACGTGTCAGGCACAAAGGACCTAGAACTTTCACAGACTTCATTTCTGTTAAAGTAAACCTGATGCTGAGTAACCCCACCTGGATTTCAAAGCCGTGTGGTCAGGTGTTTACAAAGCACTTAGTTTGTGGTCACGCGCCTCCCCACCCCATACACACACACACACAAACACACACTGCGTACCTCCTCAACAAACCGTCCCCCAGGCTCCCCAGGGCCAGCCCTGCCTCGACACACACAGCAACACACCATCTTCCCTGGGTTCTCTGAGGCAGTAGTTTGCAGTTCTTTTTAAGCAGCTATGCTAGCTTTTCTGTTGTTTCTCCTTCGCAATTACTCCAGGACCCTGAGAGAGAAACCAGTACAAACGGAACCTCCCATGGGCAGGGCAAAAACCTCTGCTCGGACCTTTGTCCTTGTTGCTTCTCTCTCTCTAGGATCCCTGTGGTGTGTTCTAAAGCGAGACCTACATCCTGCCGGCTGACTGGACTCCGAGCCACCGGTTATCTGGGGGTGGTCACTAATAGCCCATTGTTCCCTGCAGGCTTTTCGGTCAACGCGTCATCAGAGCGACTCAACATGGGTGAAATCGAGACTTTGGATGACTACTGAGCACCTGCCCGTGGCCTGGCCTTTCCTCTCTGGTGACCCTGGATTCTCCACCTCTGGACACAACATTCACTTGCCACTCACTCTTTACCTGCAGCAAATCACAGACCAACCCATCATCTCAGGCGGTTTCTTCCAGCCCTTTTTGTCCAAGATTCTTTCACCAGTCTTTGTGGGTGAGCACCTCAGACTGTAGCGAGCAGACAGACTGTCTTGTCTCGGGAGGGACAGTTGGGAGGCCTCCCCCACAAGGCTGGTTCGGGGCAGTACTGTTTCCTGTGCCGTGATTTCATCGACTGTCTCCCAAAGAGTGTGGGACCTGTCGGTAGCAGCTTACCTTCTCTTGTCACTTTCCTCCTCCTTTTCCCCCAAAGGGCAAAAGGGGTCTCACTGGTGCAATCATGAAGAGAGTCAGTAGTCAGCACCATGGCACCCTGTGGGCTATGGTGGGAGTGCCCGCCGAGGTGGCAGAGCCTCTCCCAGGCCACAGTGGCATTGCCCCAGCTAGCTTAGGGATTGCATCCAGAGCCCCCCCCCATGGGCTGGAGTTTCGATTGGATTGGTTTGATGTTGCACCCCCTTGCCTGTTGTTTCTGAGCGTCCTTTCGGAGAAAGGAGCCATGTTTTTCTTCATTAGATAGTGACTTCCCAACGAGCTGCCTTCTCCCCTGGCGTACTCCTACCCGATGGGACAGAGGAGGCCCTGTGGCCTGGGAGAGAGACTTCCTCTTAAGTTTTCTTTCTTACAACAACTGGGTTTTTCCATAAATATTTTTACTTCGGAGGACTAGGACCAGTGTATTCTGGGCCCTTCTGAGAATCTGTCTCGTTCAAGAGGCAGCTAGGATCTTCACCATATGTGTGAATTTGTAGAATTTCATTTTGGATAAACTCTTGCTTCTGATAAAAGCCTGGAATTTCATCTGGTTCCTCAGAGCATTGTATGTGTGTCTTGCTGTGGCCCCAAAAAGGTTTTTCTGAAAGATTCTGGAATGGCAAGCTGTTTGCCTTTTCTGAAAAGTGAGCGTACAACACCTGACCATCTCTAAGACCTTCGTCCATGGAAACCACTATGCAGGAGGATGAAGTGGGATGGAGAGGAAGGGAGACAGCAGGAGGAGAAGCCTGAGAAGCCTGCCCTGGCTGCTGCTCGTGGCCTCTTCATACCCCTTCGCTTTAGATAGAAATGTGTTCAAGCCCTATTTATAACCAGATACTCTTCCTGCCTCCACTAGCCCCCCACAGCACACCACTGGGTTGCCAGTCCCCCTTGGGGCTGGAGCCGTTGGCCGGCTGCTCTATGAGAGAAGCGCCGCAGCTGGCCGGCTCTGTGCAGCAAGCACAGCACCTTTTCTTCCTGTCCTCAGTGCCTGGAGAAGGCTGGGGCTGCTCTGAGAGAGTGGTCTGGGCTGGTTTTATTTGGTTTCTGTTTTTCTTCTTTTGGATCACCATTCTCCCATCCCTCCTTCTCCCCTCCCTCCTAAACATGTACAATAACTATACAGAGACTGCTACAAACGTGTACAAAGTTTTTGGATCCAATGGCATGAGGAGACGGGGACCCATTAAAAATCGGAACTCCAGCTCTCCTCTGCTTTGTAAATTCAAGAGTGGGGGGTGGGGAAGAGGGATAGTTAAAATGTTTACAAAACTTTAAGCTTCCTCGGAACTTTTGCCAGCGTGGAGGAAAATAAAAGAGAACTTAACTAAAGCCTGGTTGTGTTCTGTCTGAGCACACTTCTCGTGCTTGCTCGCCGTTGGGGCGTTTCACACCGTTCCTCTTGGCATCGTGGAAAAGCGCCAAGCAGGCGAGGGCCCGAGACACGGAGACGGCGTGGCTTTCTCCACCAGGCTCTGCAACACGGTCTGGCTCTGTGCTTCGGAATGCAGAGGTCAAGGTCAACACCGGTAAGTTTGACCAAATGTCTTTCCTCCTCTGATTGTGCCAGAAGCTTGCTTTCTTTGTGCCCTGACCTACCCTGTACCCACAGACACACCCCTGTGAGCGTGCCCCTCCTGAGCCCACGTGTATCTTTCAGACTAGACTGTTTGCTCAGGGAAAACATAAATTAAAAATTAGGGCGTGGGGTGGGCAGATTGCGGGGATCAGAGTCATTTTAGTTACGAGACATTCCATCTGCTTAAGCAGGAGACTTGCTTCTACCTGGGGAATTTCCTGCTTACCGGAGAGGAATAAACCACTCTGCCCTCCGAGGGTTTGCTCCTGTTTCTGGAGTCTGCTCTTTGACGGCCTCCTCTGCTGGCTCTTTCGCTCGTGGCCCCACCACTTTTTTAACCGTTCCAAGAAGCTCATCTCCAAATCCTCTCAACTCTTCTGAGTTTGGGAATATTTGTTTTGTACGCTGTTTGTTGCCAGTGACTTTAATTGAGAGAAAACCTTCCCAGCTGGGTGGTTTGATGATGACTTTGCACAAGTGAGTTTTGGTGGTAGTGGCTGCATAACTAATTGCCCCAAGCAAGCTCAAGGCAACTGCTTGATTTTGTTCGTAACCTTACGGGTCAGGAATTTGGGAAGCGCTCAGCTGAGCTGTTCTTCCGTGGGGTTTATGTGGCAGTGGTCATGTGGGGCTGCAATCTTAGGAAGGCTCCTTGGGTTGGACGTCCAAGATGGCTGGCTCTTGGCACCTGGTGGCTGATGCTGCCTGTCATCTGGGAACTGAGTCAGGTGTCGACTGCAGGCACTGGACACACCCTTTGGCATGGCAGGCTTGGTGGTCAGGCTTGTTAGGTGGCAGTTGGCTTCCCAGAGAGCCAAGCAGAAGCTTTGTTCTCTTACCTGACTGAAGCTCAGCAGTCATGCTGTCCGCAGATGTTAGTGCAGTGTGATCTGTCAGAGTGGTCACAGATCCGCCCCCCGCTGTGACTTCTGGGAGGAGCGGAGGTCCCCTCTGGAAGAGCTTGGAGGATGGGAGATACTGTTGTGGCCATTTTTGGGAAATGATTTCTGTGTAAAATGAGGTTATGCTTCTGCATCCGCAGTTTTGACTCTCTGGTTGGCTCTACATTGAGGGAATTACTGATTTCAGGATAGTAGTGGTATTTCTGACTTCATTTTTCTTTAGGGCAACCATTGTCATTTGATGCATAGTATTGTAAAATGTATTTGACCTGGTGACCATATTAACAGTTTTAAAGAAAAAAGCCCTCTCACTATTATTAATAAAAATAGTCCCACTATGTGGCCTCTAACCAGAAGTGACCCTTTGAGATGAACAGATTTCTGTCCTGTTCTTCAGTGTAGAAAGCAGGAGGCATGTGTATTCTAAGGAACACCAAGAGTGCATTCTTGCTCTTGGAAAATTGGCCTTGCTGGTGATGGCTTTCTTGGAACTGAAGGAGCCCACCTCTGGATGCTGGCTGTGGTCCGGCTTGGATTCCTTCAGTTCCTGATGAGGAGGTTGCAGCATTTGTGGGAACCATGGGGAATTGTTTGTTTCATGGATGTCAGGTGGTGCCTTGGGAATGACGGTCCCCTACAGCATTTGGGAATGCCGTTATGGGACTTGCAATCTGCGCCTTTGAGAGGAGCTTCTCTCTCTGCAAAGTGATGGAGACGGAAGTCCTCTGACTTCATAAGGGGGGAGAGATAGTCACCAGCAGCCCAAAGCTGGTTCCTGGGAGGTGGAGGTCAGACATCATCCACTCTCCAGCCTTTTGCCAACTCTGATACTAGCCATCCCTCTCTTGTGCTGTGCTGGGTGGATAATCTGCTGCAACGGCCACACAGACTCAGACCATACTCACGGTTGCAGGTTTATTAGGGAAGTAACAGGCTACAACTCAGGATCGGGAGCAACTTGGAAGTAACAGGAACAACTCGGGATAAGTTCACTGATCAGGACGGCTGCTTCTCAGCCCTTCCTGCAGATAGGCTTGGCTCTCGAACTTGGGTACCAAGCAAGGGTTCCTTCTCTTCAGCTTTGCCAGTAAATGCCTGGGGGCATCTTACTCTACCAGGAAGCCTCTTCACTGAAGGTACCCAGCTCGTGTGCTCTGCAGGTCTACCAGCCCAATGCAGCCATCTGACAGTCCCATACCACTGCCATCTCATGCTCCCTCCAGTGTTGCAGCTTTCTGTCTCCTGGGTCTCAGAGTCCTCAGTGCAGGGACACCAGGTCTACAGGATGCGCTCTGCTCCTGGCTCTTGATGGCAGTGCGGTCCTCCTCAGCCTCTGTGGGATTGGCGCTCATCTCCCTTACTCTGTGGATTGGCTCCTGCCATCTTGTGCCAGTCTCCTTGTTCTGCTTCTGGCTGTGTGCCATTTCCCGTGTTAAGGCTCTCCTCACTGCCTTCTGAGCCCTCATCAGAATTGCCTTTGATGTCCATAATTCCACCAACAGTCTCTTACGGGAATCAAGGCTGTTACTGTTACACACCTTAAAACGGTTCCAGCCTCTGCTCATTACCTGGTTCTGAAACTACCTCTGCATTTTGGGTATCTGTTACAGCAGCATCCCGCTCCTCTGGTACCAGGTTCTCTCTTAGTTACCTAGTGCTGCCGTAACAGAATTACCACTGCTGTTGTTGTGTGCCGTCCAGTTGGGCCCAACTCACAGCGACCCCTCCTTGGGTTTCTGAGGCTGTATCGCTACGGAAGTAGATTGCCCAACCTTCCTTCTGAGGAGTGGCTGGTGGGTTTGAACTGCCAGCCTTCTGCTTAGCAGTCAAGTGCCTTAGGCAGTATGCCACCAGAGCTCCTAGAATTGCCACTAGTGGGTGGCTTCAAAAAACAATTTTATTTTCTCACAGTGTAGGAGGCTAGAAGTCTGAATTCAGTGTGCTGGCTCTAGGGGAAGGTTTTCTCTCTCTATTGGCTCTGGGGGAAGGGCTTGGTGTCCCTTGGAAATCTCCATGTGTCTTGGTATCAGTCTTCCCCTGGATCTAGGAGGTTCTCAGCACAGGGGCCCTGCGTCCAAAGGATGTGCTTTGCTCCCAGGTCATCTTTCTGGGTGGTGTCGAGGTCCTTCTTCCCTAGAATATTTTAAAACTAGCTCAGGTATTATGTCACTCATAAATAGTTCAGTGTATGTTGGTAACGCACAAAACCAAACCCATTGCTGTCAAGTTGATTCTGACCAACATTGACTCCGTGTGTTACAGAGTAGAGCTGCTCCAGGAAGGGTTTTCTGTACTGCTGTCTTTACAGAAGTGGATCATCAGACCTTTCTTCCATGGTGCCACTGGGTGGCTTCAGATGGCCAGCCTTGAGGTCAGTTGCAGAACATTTGCACCACCGAAGCAAAAGTTCACTGCCAGGGAGTCGATTCTTTGAAGCAAAGCCCAAACAAAACACACCCACTGCGTGGAGTTGATTCCGACTCACAGCGCCCCTAGAGGACAGAGTGGAACTGCCCCACAGGGTTTCCAAGGCTGAAATCTTAGGAAGCACACTGCTACATCTCTTTCCCCTGTAGCAGCTAGTGTGTTTGAAGCTGCTAACCACTGTGCCACCAGGGTGCCTTTAGTAACAAAAAATTCACAATGTCTTTGTCATATTAAAACCATGAACAGTAATTTCTTAATATCTGAACTTGGTTCATATGCAGATTTTCCTGTATCTTCAAGAAGAGATGCTTCTGTCATGTCTTGGCCACATGTTTTTAATCCCTGAGCCTGTCATTTTCTTGAGTACCTGATGCAGTAAGAAGTAGCCAGTTGACTTTCCTGTCCTTTTGGTTGGCATTGCTACCATGCAGGTCCGTCAAGCCTTGTCTGTGATAGGCATTCATGCTAAGCAATCCCAAGGCTTCATATAGGCCCCATTGTACCAGCAGCTTACTTTCTGCTGACAATGAAGTGTCCACATCCACATCAGATGGTCACAAAGCAAGGCCACCCACACCTTTGACACATTGTTTGCTCAGACCATTCTGTTGTTGTCGTTATTTGCCATCGAGTTGGCCCCGACTCCTAGCGACCCCTCCTTGGGTTTCCGAGGCAGTTATCACTACGGAAGTAGGATTGCCTAACCTTCCTTCCGAGGAGTGGCTGGTGGGTTTGAACCGCCAGCCTCCTGGTTAGCAGTCAAGTGCCTTAGGCACTGTGCTACCAGAGCTCCTCAGACCATTGTAGGCACCAGTTAATGCACTGGTCAGGATCTGGTGAGGAAGCAGGTACTCTGGGTGTTTCCAGCAGAAGAGATTGAGTGCAGGATTGTGTTACGAGGATGTCCAGAGGACTAAAGGAGCAAAAGAGTGAAGATGAGATCACAGAAATTTACTAACTAACTAGGAAACTGACCCCACTCTGGGCTGGAGGAGCAGAGCACTGTCCCCTGACGCACCTGGGGTTGAGCCTAGCTGCTGAGGATGTGGGAACCTGCACTTCTAGCCTCTGTGGCTGCCCCACAGCTACCTCCTGACCCCACGTCACTGATGTTACTGTAGCCAGTGCTGCTGCTGCTGCTGCTGTAAGAAATCACTTCTCCCACCAGTGTCTCCCATGGGGAGACCCTAGTAGGACATCAGCTGGGTGAAAGTCTCGGACTGTAATCTGGGGATCTGAGTCCACGTTACACTGCAGGGCGCAAGGCGGGAATTGAAGGCTGAGGCAAGCAAATGATCAGCATGAACAAGGCAGTGAACAAATGAGGGACCATCAGTCCATCCCAGCTCCTGGAATTCGAATGTTTGCTGCATGCTAGGCATGCTGCTAGGTTCTGGAAATGCACCAGTAAGGAAAATAACAGTGTGCTTGCCTGGAATTAAGAGTCACAGAGAAAACCCAAATAAACCATCAAAAGACCGTTTAGAGAGAAAAGGTGCAGATACAAAGATTCAGAACCTGTATCAGACAGAGTTTTTATGTGGAGTGTACTAAAGGACTCGTGTGCATAAATTTAAAAGGATAGAGCTAACAGGTACATAGGCCCCAAATGGAGGGAATTCTGTGGCCAATAAACACGAAAAGGTGCTCAACATTATCAGTCATGGAAATACAAATTAAAATCCTATTACATTGAAACAGCATACCCACCAGAATGACCGGGAATAAGAAGACTGGCACTCCTGAGCATCGGTGAGGGTTTGGAGCAACTGGAACGCTCGTCCACCTGATGGGAGCAGAGAAGAAAACCCACTCGGCAGTCTCTCTGAAGCTAGACCTATGCCTGCTGTCTGACCTGAAAGAGCCCCGACAGTGCAGTGGTTAAGCTGACAAAGTCGAGCCTACGGGTGATTCTGTGGGAGACAGACCTGGTCATCTGCTCCTGCAGAGATTGCAGCCTGGAAAACCCTGTGGGGCAGTTCTGCTCTGTCCCATAGGGTCACTGTGAGTTGGAACAGCCTCGAGTGCATACCACCACCTCCACCACCACCTCCTCCTGACCTAGCACTTCTATCTTCAGCTATATCAGCAAGAGAAGCTAGTGCGTATAGCCACTAGATAATAAAGACAAGGGGTTGTATTTTTAAAAGTTCAAAGATGGATACATGTTCATACGGTTCTTTTTATTCAGCAGTAAAATGTGAACTCCTGCTACATGCACAAATACAAATGCATCTCACAGAATTCAGAACAAAAGAAACCATGATTCCATATCATAATCGATTCCATTTATTTGAAATTCAATGATAGGCAAACTGATCTATGTCATAGAATATAGTGCTTTGGGATTATTGATTGGAAGAGAGGCACGAGGGGATCTGCCAGTGTGCCGGCAATGTTCTGTACTGATTGGGATGCTGTTTACCCAAGTGTATACGTCCACAAAGATCTAACCTGTGAACTACAGGTGTGTGCACTTACGGTATATACTGTTAAGTTACTTCTCCAGAATTAAAAACGAAAAAAAAACAAGCTGGGTTCACAAAAACGGAAATGGTATGCAGAAATTTGATCATGTGAGGGGTGAGTAGGGGCTGGCTGCTCAGCTGTTGCATAAGGAACTGAGTGACCACTTTCTGGGCAGAGAGGAGAGCAAGTGGAAAGTCCTGAGACAGGGTCAGTGTGGTGTGCTGATGGGACCAGTCAAGGCCAGTGGGCTGGGACCAAGACCTGGGGGGAAATCATGAAGGTTTGAAGTAGGGGTGTGTTCACAGATGTGGTGAGTGACGACTCCATGTGCTGCTGGGACACCAGGGAGATGGGTTAGGAGGTGGGGGTTGGGGTTGGGGTGCTACTGAGTGGGAGGGCTGGGACTTTTCATTGGGACATGCTGAGTTGGCAGTGCCCATTAGACACCCACGGAGCTGTTGGATAGGCAGTAGGGCTGAAGCTCAGGGCCAGGCCTGGCTGGGAATTGTTGGTGACTTACAGGTGGTATCTGAAGCCTCAGGTGAGATGAGAGCACCTGGGGGCACAGAGAGCAACAAAGGATGACATGGGACACTTAACACCATGGGCTTCAGAGGGAGAGACCATGCTGGGTAATTAGGGTTGAAACAGCCTTAGAAGTGCATCTCTAATAAGCTCTGTGAGCACTTGTCTGGACCCTGCTCATCTTCCAGGTGAGCAGCGTATCAGAGGGTTGCAGTATATCAAAGGGTTTTTATATGGAGCGCACAAAGAACTTGTGTGCATAAATTTAAAAACATAGACCACCCTAACAGATAGATAGGCAGAGCCTTTGCAAAATAGGGAATTCCGTGGCCAATAAACATGAGAAGGTGCTACAGTCATTATAATGCAGATTTCTGGGCCCACCCAAGACCCCCTGAAACAGAGTGGTAAAAGGAGGCAGCTTTTCCAAGTTCCCTAGGTGATCTTGTTGCAGAAGGAAGTGTTCGACCCTCTCACTTGCGGCGGCCCAGGAGTAGGTGTGAGAGGTGTGTGTGCTCACTCCAGCTCCCTCCTGTACGTGTGAGTGTGAGAGGAGGGAGCCACTTCCTCTCCCTCTCAGAGGGTGGGGCTGCTGGGTAACGGTTCACTGTGTGTGTTTGCATGTGTGGGGCGGGCACGGTGTCCCAGGAGGACAGAGTTGGCATTGATGAAAGCCCGTCCCAGCCCTTTGATGCCTCCTCCTCACTGGTCTGGAGTTTAAACCAGCTCCGTGCTCCGTGCGTCCACTCGCCGGTGCGCTTGCTCCGGCCATAATGGCATCCTGTCTAGCTCTGCGCGTGGCCTTGCTGCTCCTCTCTGGGGTCCTGGTCCCTGCTGTGCTCACAGGTAAGGGCTGTAGGGCCCGGCTCTGCTACCACCAGCCAGGGCCAAGACCCATCTTGAGGCTGGACAGGGGGCGTGACCTTTTCACAGGAGATGGGCAGCCTTTGGGGTGATTCTGAGGATCCTGTGAGAGAGGTCTGTGGCATTTGTATGGGTGTGTTGGGAAATTGTGACAGGAATAGTGGCTCCTTAAGTAGGGCCTGGGCTCGCTCTGGCTGTCCCTCCCGGCTGTCCCTCAGCCATACAGCATCCCCTGCTTCTGTGCCGAGCACCACTGTCTCAGGGCAGCCTCCTCACACAGGCTGGAGAGGGGCCAGCTGGGTGCCCCACCCCAGGAATGGGGGCAGGGACCTCAAGTGTAGGGTGGCATCTTCATGGCTGGGCCTTGGGACTGTGACCTCCAGCCCTGAACTGCTTTTCCCACCTGGTGGTGGGGTGGTGGAGGGGCAGGTGCTGGCTCATGCCTGGTAGAGGCTGGGCTGCTCCCGTGTGGGCCCTGCTCCCCCAGCGGTCAGCTTTGCCCCACCTGGCCCACCAGAGGCCCCTGACCAGACTAGAGGCCCAGCACTGCGGGTGGACTGTGCATCTGCAGGAATGCTTGGGGGACACCTGGTGTTTTGGCCTCGCCTCACCTCTTCCTGCACATGTCCTACCAAGAGCAGGCAGGCCCCCATCCCATCCTGAGTCTTCTGGGGTCAGCTGCTTGGTGGCAGCTGTTTGTCCTGCCATCCTGGCAGGGAGGGTGCTTGGTAGCTTGGCTTTGCCACCCTGGGCCTGTTATGTTCAAAGGCTGGCAGACCCCTGCCCTTGGCTCTGCGTGCTGGGGGCCAGTGACGGACAGGAGGGATGGAGCAGCCTGAGGACTCGAGTCCAGGCCCAGCCTGTGGCCTCCTTGCCAGTTGCCTGTGGCCGAAGCTCCGGGGCTGGGGGGCCGACCAGGTTGGCGGGCGGGAGGCCAGGACAGGGATGAAAAGGCCCTTCACACCACACAAAGGCTGACTGTGAGCCGGGCGCCTGGCCTCGGGGCCTGTGGGCAGGTTGAGCGTTAAACAGACTTATTTACGAAAGGCAGGGTGGCGGGGTGGGGTGGGGTGGTGGACCTGGCATGGTCATGTCCCCGATGGTCAGTACATAGGCTGAGGGCACCGCTACCTTGGACCACAGAGCCTGGTCTCAGCACACCAGGGGGCGGGGCCTCCTTGTGTTCTCAGGTCTCACGTCCTCTGTCCACGTCCCAGAGGCCAAGCTGCCACTTCTTCTCTGCCTGTGTCCTCATCCCCCAAGTATTTGCTCGTGCTGGTCCCTCTGCCGCGTGGTCCTGTCCCATCCCACCCTCCTTAGACGGGGCTCCTGCTGGCAAATTCATCGGCAGTTACTTCTGCCCGTGACTTTCCAGAAGGATCACTTTGGGGAGTGGACGGCTACTACCTTTGACTTTTCCTTCGGATTACAGAGAAGCATAAAGCAAAAAACAAAGATCACTGCCGTTGAGTCAGATCTGACTCATAGGACCCCTCCTTGGGTTTCCGAGGCTGTATCTCTATGGAAGTAGATTGCCAGATCTTCCTTCTGAGGAGTGCTTGGTGGCTTTGAACCACCAGCCTTCTGGTTAGCAGTCAGATATCTTAGGCACTACGCCACCAGAGCTCCCACACAGAGAAACACAGATGATGCTAAAGCCCTTGGTCTGGCTGAGCTGGGCTCTGGCTGGTTGTCTGCATAGCATTTGGCCCAGGTTTGCAGGGAGGGGCCCTGGCCTCTGACTGCCTGGGTGCAGGTGCGTTGTGGACCAGCCTGCCAGGGTCTCCCATGATGGCCAGTGCAGCAGGCCACAGGGCAGACATGTGATCCAGGCCAGGAGGGGTCCCGAGGGTGGAGGCAGCAGGGGGATGAGGGCTGCACAGCTCCCTCCTGCATGAGGTTCTGACGGGCAAGATGAGCCCATGTCACAGATCAGGAAAGTCAAGGCAGAGGGACTGAGCGTCTGCTGGGGCCCCCACGTGAAAGTGGTGAGCTAGTATGGAAGCCAAGGGGTCAGCCCCTCAGGGTTCAGGGCCTGAGGGAGGGCTGGGGATGGGGAGGGCCAGGCTTCAGTGGGAGCAGCAGAGGGGGGCTGGGTCAGGGGGCCAGGGAGAAGGTCTGGGCTTGCCTCCAACTGCCCCTGACCATGAGCCCAAACCCTCCCCCCCGAGATGGCTCCCATCTCAGGCAGAAGGCAGAGGTGGCTGTTCACCTGGCCCAGCTGCCCAGGGAGCGAGCTCCGTGCCCTCTTAGGGGCTCTGGGTCCTGTTGTTCCGCTGCTGAGCTTGGGGCCAGCTGGGCCTGTACCCAGAGAGCCCAGCATGGAGGCAGCTCGCCCTGGGGTGGGGCAGGAAGGAGGCTGCTGCAGGCTGGCTTGCGTGTGTGCTGAGCAAGCAGGGCTAGTGCCCTGTCCACGGGTCAGGGAGGCAGGTGTCCGCAAACCCAGACCTCAGGCCTGCCTGCCAGCAGCCAGCACACTTGGGCCTCTTCTCTGCCAGCCCTGGGGCCTCCAGTGGCTGGGAGACTGCTTGTTCCTACCTTCCCAGCGACATGGGAGGCCTGGTGGGGTCACCCCCTCTTCACAGGGTGGTCTTTGTGGTTGGTAGCAGGCTGAGTGGTAGCCAGACCCCAACTTTGCAGTCCTGGCCACCCTGAGCAGAAGCCTGGGCCCTCTGGGTGCCAATCGCCCTCACACCCCCGAGTGGCCTCCAGCCAGGGGAGACCAGTTTGGGCAGCCCCAGAGAGTGGGCAGTGGTCTGCCCAAGAGCAGAGTGTTGGCTCAGATCCAGTTGGGGCCCAGGTGGTGGGGCAGGGGTGTGGGGGGCAGGACCTTGCAAAACTTCACTAAGAGTTTAAGATCACACAGAAGCTGAGAGAGTTCTCCAGTGAACCCCAAGAGACATACCACCTCCATTCACCAATTGCTGGTGGGTTTCATTTGCTCTTGTCTCTTCTCTCTACCATCTAGCTATCAGTCAGTTATCCAAGTATCTAATCTAGCTATCAATCATTCAAATATCTATCTGTTATCTACCATCTGTCTGAATCATCTACTTACCAGTCATCTGCATATCTATTATCCTTGTATATGCTTCCACGTGCCACCCATATATGTATCTACCTGGTATCTATGTCTTACCTACCCACCTACCTACCTATCATCTATTATCTACCATTTACCATCTATATATCTTATCTATTGTCTATCACTTGTCAGTTACCCATGTATCTACCACCTACCATCTATGTATGTTTGTGTACCTATCCCTCCATCCACCCACCCACCCATCCATCTATCCACCCATCCACTCATCCACTCACCCACCCATCCACCCATCCATCCATCCACCCATCAGCCATCCAGCCATCCATCCATCCACCCACCCATCTATCCACTCACCCACCCACCCACCCA